AACGTTCATTGCATGTATCCAGCGCACGGGTTGTAGTTTGAGGACCCCTGATTTAGTGCAATATAAAAAATGCAAATATTTTTTCTGAGGACCACCAACATTTTCTCGCGGACCACCAGTGGTCAATGGACCACCAGTTGGTGACCGCTGGCCTAAGGAGATCAACATCCTATATCAAGGTGTGCATAATTATTAGGCAGCTTCTTTTCCTCAGGCAAAATGGGCTAAAAAAGAGTTTTAACTGACTCTGAAAAGAAAAATTGTAAAAGTTCTTTCAGGGGGATGCAGCACTTCTGAAATTGCTAAGATATTGGGGCGTGATCACAGAACACTTTGTTGCAAATAGTCAACAGCATGTGTCCACTGAATAACTTCAATCCAGTACACATCTACTTTGAAATTTATTGTAGCTTTTTTTAGGTAGTAGAATTGTAACCTAAAGGAATTCACAAGTAAGTAAACATGACATGGAATTGGGATGCACAATAAAAAGTATGATTTTTGATTACCACTTCATAAGGTGAGGACAAAGATGTAATGGGTGGAAACTTATTAAAAAGAGATCCAACCTAGATACAAGGAGAAATTTTGTGACAGAACAATTAATCAATGAAATAGCTTGCCTCCCAGAGTTGTGGGTGCTTTATCACTGGAGATTTTCAAAAATAGATGGGAAACCATTTAACTGGGATGATGTAAGCTCTTGCCTTGAGCAGGGAGTTGGACTAGAAAACCTTCAAGGTCCCTTCCAGTCCTATGATTCTATATTCTAACTGAATTGATCCCATTGGTTGCAACAGGAATTGACTGACTGGTTTGTCACTGACATTGTGGGCTGAGAGAGAGAGAGAGAGACTGGTCCAAGGTCACCTAGTTGGCTTTCATGCCTAAAAAGGGACTAGAACTTAGAGTCTCCTGGTTTTTAGGCCATCATCTTAACCACTGAACCAAATTGCTTCTTCTGTGGCTTAATACAGTACTAAGCTAAAATTTATTCATAAAGTCTGTCTGTATTTATTTAGCAAATTTATTTCCTGCTCACTCCTAATTGGCTTTAGGCAGCCTAAAGCATAGTTATATAAATACTAAAAACTATATATGAGTGGTGTGGTGACCTAGTGGTGAAGACATTTGCCTCCCACTCAGAAAGTTGAGAGTTTGATCCTAAGTAGTGGTAGTTGTTTGTGGAGTGCACAGAGAAAATATCTGCTGTGAACTCCACATAGGCATCAGGAAGGGCATCTGACCAGTAAATGCTCAGTTCCATTTAGCCTCCCCAACTCTATCCCAAGGGATTACAGAACCATAAAAAACCCTAAAAACGATGTGTAAACATTAAAAGGCCTGCAGCATAATGTCCCCGAAGTCTTCTATTAAATTATAATGAGGAGGATAGTCTTAATTCCAGCACCAGTTTTTTGCCCAATGAAGATCTCGTATCAAAAAACTTTTACAAATTGTAAAATTTGTAAAATTGAATTTTACAAATTCAGAAAGCAAGGAGATCGGAAAAACTTACAAATTGCCCAGTTGAATATCTAAGAAAAGATAAATATTGCCCATTTTTGTAGAAATTCATCATCATCTGGATTTTGTTCTTTTCATCCTTTTGGTTTTCTGCTAGTGTTGTTCTGTGCAGTAAAAATGCAAAACAATTAACTGAGGCATAAAACTAGTTGATAATCTATTGGGTCAGGAATAGGAGGAAAGGTGTGTCTATTTCAGCTCTGTATTTGTTCAGTGTGTTTGAATTACAATAGCCTGATCCGATCTGATAAGTTTTTCACAAAACGGAAAAGAGGAAGAAAGTGCTGGAACTCAGAATCTGAAGGAACATAGCCTTTGCTCCACTCTCTTTGCACCCTACTGAGCTTCTGCATTGGGAGGGTGTGGTCATTCTGCACTGTCGTCTTCAGATGGCAGTTGTATCTGCTGTTTGCTGTTTTGCCCTACCTCTTCTGTTTACTCAGACGTAATCTGTCTGGTAGTGCTTCAGCTGACTGCTCGTTGTTGGTACTGCTGAAGCTGTCTCTGGGTTTGGGTCTTCGTTATCGGTCCCCTGCTCTGATTCCAAATCTGAGCCAACTATGAGCAAAGTAGCACATGAATTCGCCTCTGCCATATGCATTAATAGTATTAACTTGCACCTTCATCTTTTTAAATGATTACTAATAAGTCTATCAAATTTTGCCTGAAAATATCTTGCGATACCAATAGCATAAAACGAGTGTTTTATATTTTCTGCCGATATTTAGTGCTTTTCTAGATTTAATACAGGTCAGATCTGGTAGCCTTGATTAATGAGGTTTCATTTCAAAACTGGTTCACTGTAATTATAGATTCCATTGCTTCAATAATTGACATATGTCTCCACAACCAAATATGGAGCAAACGAAGAGTATCTCAACCCAGTCCAATTAATATGTTCTTGGTAGTAAAATTGTTTTAACTATTTAACTATTAAATGCATGCTTTATAGTAAGTTTCACTGAATTGAACATTAACTACAAAATGCCATCAGAAACGGGTTGAATAGATCTAGCCCTATTTCACTTGAAAGATATGACTCTTGAAGAAACACACAGACTTGAGTTACATAAAAAACACTTTGAATGTCAGTGCTAACTAGCAAACATTCAATGAAAATGTAAAAGGAAATGAAGCAGTCTTTAACAACAATATTAATCAAAAGGGAATTCTCAGCTGAAGGCAAAACTTGTATACATAATTTAAATATCATAGGTACACTCACAAATTGCTCTTTTATGATAATAGCATAATATGGATGCTAGCCCCATTGGAAGATACATTGAACTGGACTGCAAATTGTTTGCTGAAAGTGAAGAACTGCATTTGCTTAAGCTATTCTGAATTTTTGATGCAGTCATATAATGAAAATCTACAACTTAACTGCCACTGAAATTGCTTTAGGTATCATAGCCTCTGTTAAAATGTGATAAACATAAAAGACATGGGAATCTTAATGACTATAACATGCAATATTAGTTTGGGAAGGCAGCAATCTTCAGAAAAAGTAAACAAAAAGAAATAATATAATTTTCAGAAAATAGGCTCATCTGCTAACCAATTTGGTGTAGTGGTTAAGACGTTGACCTAGAAACTAGGAGTCTGAGTTCTAGTCCTGCCTTAGACATGAGAAACCAGCTGGATAACTTTGAGCCAATTACTCTAAGCCTCACAGGGTTGTTGTGGGGAAAATAGGAAAAGGAGATAGTGTTAGGTATGTTTGCAGCCTTGAGATACATATAAAGTAATAAAAATGGGATTTTTAAAAATCAAATACATAAAACCAGTAGTGCAAGATCTGTAGGAAGAAAGTATACACTGTATCATACAGATATGACAGAAGAAATAATCAGAGAAGATGCTTATCTTCGGATATGATTCCTGAACTGGCATGTTTGTTATATAAAACTTGTTTCTTTGGATTTTTTATTTATGCATTTATAAACAATTTGCCTCAAATGCATTTAAAAAATAAGTCATGTTTATAAGTAAGTAGAAAGTAACCATTAGAATATAAATCAGATACTATATACCAGTGATGGTTAGCCTTTTTGGCACTGAGTGCTGAAACTGGAGTGCACCTGCACGTGTGCCAGAGCACCAGAACCCAGAAGAGAGCAGCTGGCTGGTGCACATGTGCACAGCGGCCAGCTGCTCTTCCGGGTTCCATTGCGCACATGCATACCAGAACTTGGAAGAGCAGCTGGCGATGGCGCACATGCCCACAGAGAGGGCTCTGTGTGCCACCTCTGGCATGCGTGCCATAGGTTCGCCATCACAGTTATATACGGTCCTCTGATGTAAAATGCAATATAATATAAAAATCTTACATCTTACTAATGTAAATGAAAAAGTTTTATTCTCCAATAAATAATTTTAAATAAAAAAGCTCTAAATTTAATTTTCTCTTTAATTTTTCTGGATACTTTCTTGATGGCATAAACCTTACCAATTTTTCCTTGTTACAAAAAGCCAAGCAGGAAGAAAAAAATAAAGAGCAGCTCTTTTTTTATCATGGATCAATATATTACAGCTTCATAACATGGGCTCAGATTGGGAGTGAAGATGTGTAAAGTATATCCTATCTATCCCACATAGAACAAAGTCATAGAACAACTAGAATTGATTTACTAATAAATGTCCTCTCTTCTTGTATACATGACTCTAGAGAAGATGGTTAACAATTAAAACATCATAAGAACAATTAAAATGCAATCAATAATGAAAAACAAATAACATACAGCAACCAAGAATTGAATACCACACAGTCAATATAAAAAGTAGGCAGGCCTACATTATCAGTATTATTTTGACAACAAAGCCAATGTTTTAATGCCTTGTGACCCAAGTATGCTGCTTTTGACACATCTAATGGGAGAGTTACAACTGGGGAGAGATAGTCCTATAAGAACCCTAGTCTCAAATCGTGAAGGACTTTAAAGGTAACCACCAGCCCCTTGAATTGCATGGCAGCTAATGCAGCCATAAAGCAGAGGCATCATATGTCCTGAGAAACTAGCATCCAGAACTGCCTGAGCTGTTGCATTTTGCACCAGCTGAAGCTTCTGCATATTCTTTAAGGGTAGCCCCAATTTTTGGTCTTTGTTCAACAATTGATACAAGTGAAATATACAATACGGTATATACTGTAGCTTATACAGTACAGTACAATATAAACTTAATAAGTATGTATAAACTTAATAAGTTTTAAGCAAAACTTATAGATAGAATAATGACAGAAAAAAATACATGCAAAAAGACCCCCATGCAATGTCTATGTCAAATTTATCTCTTCTTAATACAATATTACATGAGATTTCAGATTAAGCCTAAAGTTGCTGTGAGGTACACTTCTTAAAGAGTTCCTGAGGAAGATGATCTATTTTATGTGTTAGTAATATATTACAGGTTAACTTCAAAATGCAGCATCGGTGGATGAGAGCAAATCAAATTTACGAAAAGGTTTAGTTGCATAGTTTTCCCTTTTATTTAGATGGAATGAAAGGCAGACAGAACTTTCAAATCTGAAACTACCAAAACAATAGTAATAACATTTCCGGAGTAGATTCTAAGTCCCTGCAATAACCAAGAGGGAAAAAATGCAAATAAAGGCTATCCAATCTCGGTTTTCATCCAGGCTTTCTCATATTATCAGCCAATCATATAGCTACGTGGGGAAAAGGTGGCTACCATGGTTACCACGTAAACAGTTTCCTGTTTCAACAGTAGCTGTTGAGGGAGTCAGGCTTTGTACCTAATTTGGATTTTAAAGCAGCAATCTAGTGGCATAGACATTTGCTGAATCTTATTTCTCAGAGTGCTGGCATACTGGCAATAAGAGCTGCTGCTTATTTGACAGCTTCAGTGTTCTCTCTGCCATTGTGTTGGGAGACAAATAGTATATTCAGGACGTGGAAACAACTTGATCATGTCGGAAATGACTAATAACCAGGATAGCAAGACCAAGAGCATCATTATCAATACGTAAGTACCATGGTATGGTTGAAGCAAAGGAATGGTTTTGAAGCAGGCTCAGTGGAGAGGAGGCTATCTCCAGTCATTTTGTGACAAGCTAATACAGGTTTTCCTAACATACTTTTCTACTGTTTTAGATATAATGTTCATCAAATCAGTTTGGACAAGTAGTTATGGCTTATAAGTATTGCAATCTATAGCAGTCAATGAGGACCGGTTTCTGCGAATATAGGATAAACATATTCCTGAAAACTCAAGTTGCCTGTATTAAGGCTAGAGACTTCAGCAATTGGACATGAGGGTGGGGAGAAGGCATGGTCTCTATAGAAACAGACATCTCCTTCTGCAGTTTAATTGTCTTCCTTAAGCATTTGGTAAAAATCCCCTCAATTAAAAACTGGAATGTAGGAGGTCATTCTGATTCTACTTTGTTTGTGTGAATTGATTCCATTTTTCATGTGGTTCTAAAAGTTTTCATTCTAAAGTAAAGAAAAATGTAGCTGGCTAGAGGATAAATACAGTGGTACCTTGGTGCTCATTGTTAATTGGTTCTGGGAGGTGTGATGAGTACCAAAAATGATGAGTACTAAACAATTTTTTCCTATGAGGAATAATATAGTGAGTCACAAGGCAACTGCCATCGACAAGTTCTGTCTTGTGTGTTGAGTACCAGGACAAAATTTACATGTCAAAATGCATTGAGTACCAAATTCAATGAGTTTCAAAGCAGTTGAGTACTAAGATACAACTATGTATAAATTGAAATATTCTCAAATTACCATATTTTTCGGAGGATAAGACGTACTTCCCCTCCCCCCCAAAAAAAGTGGGTGAAAATTTCTGTGCATCTTATACAGCGACATGGTGGTGGCAAACAGGCCACGCCAAACGGGCCATGGCGATGGTGAACGGTCAACGTTGACCGAGTGGCGTCGAATGGGCCGCATCAAACGGGTTGTAGCAAACAGGCCGCAGCAGCAGGGAACGGGCCGTGCTGAATGGGCCATGGTGGCAGCAAACAAGTCACGCTGAACGCTCACCACCACGGTGAATGGGCTGCACCGGTGGTGAATGGGCCGCGCTGGTGGCAAACGGGCTGCAACGGCGGCGAATGGGTGGCACCGAACGGGCCACAGCAAATGGGCCACAGCAAACAGGCCAGATGAATACTGGATGGATGCTGGGAGGCAGAGGCAGATTTTTTTTTCTTGTTTTCCTCCCCAAAAAAGATAAGTGCATATTATAGTCCGGAGCGTCTTATACTCCGAAAAATATGGTAAATAATTTTAGTATCATTGCTAAATTAAGAATATTTAAGTTTTATTCTTAAATAACAATTGTGCTTATGAATTTATGATTAATGTTTTTTTTTACTTTATTTGAAGAGATTGCAAGTGGTTGAGAAAGGTTAATAGAGTATGTGTGTACACAATTTATTCTGAACCCTTCCTAATAGCCATGCTAGAAAAGGGAAGGAAAGAAATGGAATTGGCTAGTCTCAAATTCACCTAATATTAAACCATAATGAATAAGACCTCTGTCTCCATATTGGGCTTTTTATCAATTATTTATTCTTTCAAAAACAATAAAAGTTCTTGCAGAAAAATTGTTCTTGGTCCTGCCATCATATATTGAGCATCTTTTCTGTCCTACCTTAATAGATTTTGGTGACTAAAAAAAGATGGAAAATATAATGGGGAAATACAAATTCTAAATCGAAGATATCGTGGCATTGAATTCATGTAAATATATGTGTGGATGTCTGTGTCGATGCACATAAACACACTAATTCAGAAATAGAGGTAGAAGTATCTAAATCAGCCATGATACCCTTTCCTACCTTAGTCCTCTATATGAACACTATAATTTATCCAGAGTTTACCCTGTGATATGCTCAAGTAAGAAAGGATATTTTTTAAAATTTAATTTACTTACATAACAGCTGGGTATAATAGATTGATATTTTCGCATTTCATGATGTTATTACCAAATTACAGCAATTAGCCATTAATTGAATTCACAAACATGTGTATCCACTAAAGCACAGATGCACAATGCCAAAAAGCTGTGAACACAAACTAATTCTACTTTTTCCTTTTTTCTTATGATATACAATTGTATAAAACCAAACTATAGTAATAAGAGATATTAGGTATAACAATCTAAATTTCCGTTTGCCCATGTTTGTCTATATTATAAAATTATTAGGGCACCCATAGAAATGCCCTTAACCACCTCAGTCTTGAACCATTCAAAACATGGAATTCAGATAACATGTTACTTTAGATAATGGAGGTTAAGATTTAAAAATTTAATAGTTTAAAATAACTGTCACTATACAGAATCCACTTTTCACAGGTGAGACAATTCCTCTACAAGGATGTCCACTGAGGATGACAAACTAAAGAAAAACCTGAATGTGTAAACCTTTCCACCATTTGGGTTCACACATAGTTCTAAGCCACGTTTTGTTCAACTGTAGATTGTTCAACAAATCACAGTTGTTACGTTCATATATAACCTTATGCTATCTGGATTAATTCAGCTTGTCAACCAAAACGAAGCACCTCATATTTTAACTTTTACCATAGAATACTGTTTACTATAAAGACCTATAGCACATTTTACTACATTTCCTTAAAATGTATTGAACCATAGTTTCCTATTTGTCACCAAGTATTCACAGTTATAGTCCAATAACACCTGGCTTGGTTAAGTAATGCTAAATTATAATATTGTTTTGAAAAATAAGTTACAGTAAATGTGTCAAATTTTAAGCGGCATATTAATTTGAATCAACCTTGTAACTTCTAATCTGTATACTCTTCTATTTATCACCAGGAGCCTCACAAAAGAACAAAATGTATATAAGAAGTTACCATCAGCTTCATCATCTGGGAGACGATTGAGCTTCGCTAGTGCCATGCAAGGTAGTAAAATCGGTTCATTGGGTCGCAGAAGTATCGTGATCACTTCAGAACCAAAAATGGAAAAAGGTGCTTTACCAAGCAGCAAACCTGTTGTTCAGGTAATCAGGCACTATATGAATCATAAATGTAGATCTAATTAACAGTTAAATCTAAGATAAGGGGCTATTAAAGATGCAAAAATGTTAGAAATATATTGGTTCATCACATAAATCAGCCAGATGTTCAGACTGGATATGGCATTTTTATCCACCTGTCGAATCCTTCCAAGAACCTGGGATAGGCAGATGTTGATGTTTGATGGTGTTAGAGGTAATGTTGCAGGATGTAAGCTGTTCTGAGCAAAGCTGCCTTTTGCAATTGGGCTAATAGTGAATTTGTCAATGCCTATGGTGTTCAGGTGATACTGCAGTTGTTTTATGATTGCATCCAAGGTGACAGTACTATTGATACTACCTTTGCTTTCTTTTGCCACAAAAACATTATTATCATCATCATCATCATCATTATTATTTACTTTATTCATTAAACATGAAACTCAGTCAACTGAACATTCAAAAATGCATCACAAATACAATTGACTGGTGTTAATGGTTGATACAGGTCACTGCCAGGGTCCTAGGTATCAACCAAGTACCTTCTTAAGATGTACAATGTTCCGAGTAGCACAGTTTTTTGCAGTTCCGCTGGAAGCTGCAATTTCTTGATGTATTTTATAAAATTCTTGGACATGGTACCAAGTGCCCCGATGACAATGGGTATTATTATTATTATTATTATTATTATTATTATTATTATTATTATTATTATTTCAGATAACATATAAATTAAAATCATTCTTCTTGAATAGTTCTATAAGTGAGAAACATGAGTGTTATTTTCCCTTGGTATCATTCCATCAAATTAAATGATAATTTATTTTAAATAATAATGCTAATTCAAGATAGTAACATTTTGCTGCATGATATAACAAGTAAATGTGTCTGCATATTTGTGTCCCTTGAAATGAGCTATATTTTCTAACAATTAACCAGAGATCATTTAAAAAAGCAATAGGCAACAATACAACTGGATATGTAGTTTAAATATTAAGGCTGGAGAAAATGGAACATCTTGCATAAAATACTCGATCAAACCAGTGGTGAAATCTAAAATTTGTTACTACCGGTTCTGTGGGCGTGGCTTGGTGGTGGTGGGGGTAATGTGACTGGGTGGGCGTGGCCATTTTAAAAAATTTTTAAAACCATTACAACCTCTTCGGCAAGGGGTTGTAAAAAAATGCTTTCAAAAGGCTCTGAGGATCCCAACTGAGTTGCCTGATCGGCAGAGGCTTTTTTAAAAAGCCTCTGCCGATCAGGCAACTCAGCTTGGATTGTCAGAGGCATTTAAAAGAAAAAAAGGGTTTTTTTCTTTTAAAAGCCCTTGAAGATCCAGCTGAGCCACGTGATCATCAGAGACTTTTTTTTTTTTACTTTTAAAAGCATTTTTTGGCCGAAGAGGTTGTAGAAAAAATGCTTTTAAAAGTAAAAAAAAAAGCCTCTGATAATTGTGCCGCTCAGCTGCACATGGGGGGGCAGGGATTTTTGCTACTGGTTCTCCGAACCACCCGCCTCCATTGCTACCGGATCGGGCGATCCGGTCCGAACCGGGAGCATTTCACCCCTGGATCAAACCCAATATCTGAGTTGCTTAGTTGCCTTCTAAACTGCAGATATAGTACATATTTTTAGTTTTAATTAAAAGTTAATTCTTGTATTGACATAAGTCTGCCATTTAATTATGAGAGTTTATATATGGTACAACATTCACTGTAGACTCATTGAGAAGTACTATAAAATTTTGTATTTTGTATCTTTTTTCACCAAGTCTATATTTTGTTTGTCATCTAAAAAAAAGTCATCCAGCTGTTAATTATCTCTTTACAATTACTTTACAATCTGTTTTAGAATCTTCTGATCACACAGCACAGCTGTGATTGTCGGAACCTTTTTTTTAATCTTTTAAAAGCATTTTTTTACTACCGGCTCGGGCGAATAGGTAGTAAAAAAACGCTTTAAAAAAGTTTTTTTAAAAAGGCTCCGACGATCACAGTTCTGCCAGGCGATCGTCGGAACCTTTTTTTTTTTTTACTTTTTAAAGCATTTTTTAACTACCTATTTGCCTGAGCTGGTAGTAAAAAATGCTTTTTAAAAGTTTGTAAAAAGGTTCCCATGCGTACCACAGCTGATCACACACACCCTCCCCCGCTGTTCTACTTACCTTCCCAAGCCTCCTTTTGGTGCACACTGTGCGTGTATGCATGCAGCTCATGTTTGGTGTGAACTGCGCTTGCGCATGTGCAGCACGCATTTGGTGCATGCGCGGCCAGCGAACCGGTAGTAAACCAGTTCAGATTTCACCACTGAATCAAAGCCAATTTTTAAAAAGCTCTCCTTTTTTCCTAATATCTGTTTAAGGCTGGTGATTTCTTAAAAATCAGAAAAAAGAAATTTTATGTTCATCCATAATAAAGTGATCCTGTGGAAAAAATGCTATAATTTGAAATCTGGAAGCATGTGCTATTACAATCAATATGTGCCTCGTTTTCCTTTCCTCTAAATTTATGCATAAAATATCAGCTCAAAGCTGCAGTCTTAAAGTAAGCCATATCATATTAACTTCTTAGTGGCAACAACTGCAAGTCTATTGGTTTCTAGACTGGGACTGAGGGAAGAATAGAGCTCTTTTACTGTACTTTTGTTATTTATTACATCTACAGGTTTTTGATGATCAGGGAAAAGATGTGACACCTCGTCCACTTTATCGTCCAGAATTGAATGTCGCACACAGACAAAGCAAAATTTTATCAGTACATGATTTTGCTGGGGTGACTCAACCTGATTTCTTGTCTTCTTTATCAATGCAACAAACTTCTGTAGCTAGTATTAGTTTAGCCGGTCCATTTTCCAGGTATGATATGACAACACATAAAATCACTTTGTCAAAACCCATACTGATTTCCTCTAATGCAGGGGTGTTAAACTCGCATTGTCATGGCAGCATCACTTGACATATTATGACTTCCCCCCCTTCGCTAAACCCGGTGTGGGCGTGGCCAGCGCATGACACATCTGGCCCGCAGGTCGCGGGTTTTACCAGCCCTGTTCTAATGTAACATCTACACAAAGGTCTTAAATACTGTTGTTTATCACATGATTTATCCCAATTGATCTTATAACCAGAATACTTTCCAATATACTGTATTATCTGTATAAAATTAGTCAGAGAACTAAAATATCAAATTTACAATTTAAATGTTCATAATGTGCCAAAGAAACAACAATAATATCTGAAGATTGCCTAACAATAGTAGCTAAAGGTTCAAGAATTAAGTCAAAAAGCAAGGGTAAAGGTGGGCAGCTTTGCTGAATACTGTACTGTAACAAAGGATTTGCTATTTGTTGTAAGTTTCACAAATAACAAATGTTAATTGAATCAACAACAAAAAAACAGAAAAATATAATTTTATTAAAATATTGGAAAGCTTGGGCCTACCAGTAAAGATGATGAGAAGCAGATGCAGAAAACTAAAGGTTTCCTTCTTGACAAGATACTGAAAGTTTCTTCATCTGCTGTAGTTTAACTCCACAGCTAATAGCTCCTGAAGCTCAAACAGTGGCTAACACTTAAACTACATTTATTAAAATAAGCCAGCTTTCCCCACTATAATTAAAGTAATTGAAGCATTCTTTTAAAAAAAAATACAATTATTAAAATGAGGAATAGTTTATAAGATCTGTTTTGTAACTAAGGCATGGTTGATTGAAAACATAAACTGGTGGAATTTCTCTTATGTATATTGTGGTGGGAAGAAGACATATGAATTGGACCTTACCTAAGTTCATTCTTATTGAACTCTAGCCCATAGACTTCATCAAGTGAAGAATTAATTACCGCGTCCTACAAAAATACACAGAGAGAAATGAACTGCATTCTATTATAAGGCAGTTTAATTTATTGATTAATTCTTTTTTCATGTATCATTCTTCTTGTCCTTGTGGCAGGCATTTAGCTAATTTGGAAACATAACTTAATCAGAAATCATATTATGTGAATTAGACTAGAAATATTTCGTGAACTAATTCATGAAGAATGGAGTATGCTAATTTCAAATCAATGTCTCCTCAGTTCTTATATATTTGCCTTTTCTATTACAAAGTCAGTGCAAATATATTACATGTAAATGTTTGTCCTCTAATAGATAATATTATAAACAACTGAAAACTACTAAGCTATCAGTAGTTCTGTGAATATTTTTTTTTTGTTGATATGTAATATTCCTTCTTTGTCATTTGCTATTTCATTTCCATTACTTATAAAATGTTCTATTGAAACTACAGAACGTATGGGAGTGGCAGTGTTACAAAATCAAGTGCTTCTACTGAATCAATGGCAGAAGAGATTGTAGAGCCTGGATTTAGACGAGACACAATTTCTAGTTTTACAGGTAAAAATCTACATAAAAACAAATATTTTAATAATCATTTTTTCTTCTCTTTCTACATCATTAATATACATTGCTGGCCTGTACTATACTCATGGCAGTTTGTACTACAATCTGAGTTATATAAGATATAAAAAAAGATGGGCGAAATATCTGATGATGATGATGATGATGATGATGATGATAATAATAATAATAATAATAATAATAATAATAATAATAATAATAATGTACAGTATAATAAAATAACTATACCGTGTTTCCCCAAAAATAAAACGTCCCCAGATAATAAACCCTCCCTGAAAATAAGCCCTCCCCGAAAATATTTAAACGCACAGCCAGTCCCCACCATTTCCTCTGGTTAGGGTTAGGGAGACAGCTGGAAATCAGGTAAAAAGGCAAGAGGATTCCCGTCTTGCTCCACGCGCCCCAAAATAATAAGACCTCCCCGAAAATAAGGCCAAGCACTTATTTCGGGGTTAAAAAAATATATAAGACAGGGTCTTATTTTCAGGGAAACATGGTAGTACAAAAATGTTTTGATGTTCAATAAAATCAAAGGCATCAATATCAGTAAATAACAAGTCCAGTTACTGTCTTGGTGATTAGCCTAAAATGGTCAATACTGCACACTCTCTGTTTCTAGCTCTATGCTATGGGTGCTCCTCTGTATCTCTCCCTGGTAACATGTTCTTTAAAAAGTGGTTGATATTATGTCTTGGCTAGTTTTAAGTATTACTTGCCCTTACCCCAGTTTATTGAATAGAATTATACTTACTACATCAAAGCCTTCTTTTACCAAATGTTCCTAAAGCAACATCATGAGCAGAGGAGCACACTGTATGTTGCTTTTAGGTATTCACTCTCTCTAGCAAGTCTATATGCCAATGAAGTCGCTACACCAGAGCTGTCAGACTCCCTGCCCACAGACTGGATGCATCACGCGCTGGCCAGGCCCATGCCCAGTTTAGCAAAGGGGAAAAAATTCCCAATACGTCACGTGATGCCGCCGTGACAACATGAGTTTGACATCCCTGCTCTACACCTTAGAAGAAGAGCCTATTCATATAAAAGAAAAAATGTTTATGTTCATTATGTTCAGTAACCTGTATATGACCTATACATGCTGTTCTAAATGCAAAATATGAATTCATTTTCTTTCATGGTAGATGTCCAGGTTAGAAGAGAGGAGATGTTAGAACAACTGACAAAGCAAGATTTAGAAAAGACTGTGGATATATTACTGACTGAGACAGAAACAATTTGGTTGTTTAACATGCCAACTGATATGATATCCTCAGAAGCTGAAGAAGCTGAAGATGTCAGGTAAGCACAGTGCGATGGCTATTATGTACATAACCTTGCCTCTCATTAGCAACTTTGCAATAAAATGTAACTTATAAATTCGGAATTTGTTCCTATGATGGTTTGTATTACAAATATAACAAAATATATTTTGTTTCTGCGGTATCAAGAAAGAGCAATCTATGTTCATTCTAGGTTGAACTGTAATACCCAACAGCTCTAGACAGCACAACCAGTACTGAAGAATTGTGGGAATTGTGGGACAAGATTTGAGAGCCACATATTGCCGTCTACCTTGTTTCCTAGCAACAAAGTATTTTACTGTTACACTGAGTTATAGTTTAGCATTATCTAAAGCAGTTTTTGTCTTGTGCATTCCCATTCCCTTTTTCCTCTTGTACAGGTACTTGGAAACGATAATCTCCTGTTTAACGTTTAACTGGTTACACTTTAGCTTTATATCCGAACCTAGTGAAATATCAAATCAAATATCCCTTTGAGTTTAGCTCAACTCCTGCTGACTACATGGACATAGATTCATAAAACTAGATGGGTTCATGTAAAGTTCAAGTTTTGAAGAGTGTCTTATATGAAACTGGATTATTTTAATAAGCCACAGTTAATTTAAAAATCCAATCTAAGTACTTTAAACCATAAGTGAAAGTTTCCATCATGTCATGGCTGCACAGGAAGAAAAGTATGTGCATACTGTAGTTTACTATTATATCTATTCTAGATTAATTTACAAGTTATTTCGTATTATGTTTTAGGACAATATTTTCCAACTTTCCCTTCAGATGTTTTGAATTATGATTCTCAACTCCTTCCTACAATCTCAAAAAGCTAGTTTAAAAAGAAAAAAGTCATTAAATGTTAGGTTATCCAATTATAAGTCCTTTATATGTTTTCATTAAATTAGCAATCACTGATAATGCATAAAGTATGTCTGAGATTTAAAAAAATGATCATGTTGCACAGCAGAATGAAGGGTCACATTGTCAAGGAGGGCATGTATGATTAAAGAGAACTTGAAGTATTTCAATAGCCATCATCACTAAGTCTCTGGCCAGCTCCTACTGTAATTCTCAAAATCACATTTGTATTTCATCACAAGTGTCTCACTCCACAAGACCCTCTCAATCACTGCCAGTCACTGTAAAAAATGGTAAACTAGCAGTCCAATCATCTGTTTCTTGCTTGATACATTCCCAAATAATTGGTTTCATACTATAAACTTGCCACCACTGAGCATATCTAATGTTTTACAGTCCAGTCAGCTATGGGAAAACAACACAAATATTATTTGCATCATTATATCTATCTGCAAGTGAGCTGTAACAGTTATTTCTTGTAGATCGAGGTGGGCAACTATGGCCCATTTATGACCTGTGGACTTCAACTCCCAGAATTCCTGAGCCAGCCATATGTTGAAATCCATTAGTCGTAAAGGGACCGTGGTTGCTCACCTCTTCTCTAGATCCTAAGAATCTAATGGGCAATTGCATAAAACAAAACTGTGCAGAAAGAAATACAAAAATGTGCAGTGTCAAAAATATTGTTTATCTACTGATTCCCAACTGTTAATCTGGTTAGAAAAATGCAAACTTCAGTACTCCCTCAAAAGAATTCCAAAACATTTTACAGTACAATTGTATCCATATCTGCTTAAAAGCAAATCCAACAGAGTACTTACTCCAAGCTGAAGTTTGCAACTTCAGAATTCCACATCTGTTGTAGTACCATTTAAGAATTAGTTTCCATGTACAATATCTATGGACATATTATTTCTAAGAAGATATCTGCAAAGGAAAAAGATATCTGGTTGAAGTTGAAATATTTGCATACAGCATTTTGAATGCATATCTTTTGTTTTCCAAAGGAAAAAGAATATTGCTTATATGGAACTCTGTAAAAACAGACTTGGCAATGATCAATATGCCAATAGAATGATGCAAACATTGAATGGAGCACCAAAGACAAAGGAAGTACAATGTGACAAAATTGTAATGGCTGACAAAGGTAAATTAGTGGGAATTTTTTTAAATAGATCATTGACACTCTATAGAAAGATATATAGTTTCAACTTCGGAAGCAACACCAGAATATTTTTTTTGAGTTTCCTATGTAAATACATAAACAAGAAAATTGTTTGGTCCTTATGCAACTTTTTATTTTCTTTTGGCAGAAATAATGAATATTGCCTCTAAAGATTTCTTATGAAATTGTATCAACTAATATAAAATATTACGTCTACATCTGTACATTTTTTAAAGTTGTGTTTGTACAGTTCAGCATTCTACAGATGTATATGAGAAAATTGCTCTCTATATATTGATTTTTTAAAAAGATTATAATAAAGAGGATAGACTTGAATTATAGAACACTTGACTATGGAATTAAAAGTCAGTTGCTAAATAAGATTTAAGGATATGGAGGTAAAAGGAAAGAATAAATCAAATGTTTTCACAATGGTTTCACACTGAGCGGGGAGTAAGATTTGATGCCTGTTTAATTATTTAATGTATCTATCTATTAAAATCATATAGTGGCAGTAGACTTTAGGAGTGAAAATATAAGCAATTGGCACCAGAATTTCTGTTGTTAAGCAATGTGGCTCATAAAATACAACATCATTACATGACTGCATTACTTAGCAATAACAATCCCAGTAGTCCCAGTTGCTGTCATAATCCAAAACCTCATGGTTAAGAGAGGCCCTCACATGACTGGAATCCTAAACAAGTAGGTCAATAAGTAAGAAGTAGGGGTGAATCAGGGGTGAAATGCTCCCGGTTTGGACCGGATTGCCTGATCCGGTAGCGATGGTGGCGGGTGGTTCGGAGAACTGGTAGCAAAAATCCCTATGCCCCCCCCCCATACCCAGCTGAGCCACATTATCATCAGAGGGTGTTTTTTTACTTTTAAAAGCATTTTTTCTACAACCTGCTCGGCCAAAGAGGTTGTAGGGGAAAAAAATGCCTTTAAAAGCTTCTGGCGATCCCAGCTGACTTGCCTGATCGTCAGAAGCTTCTAAAAAGCATTTTTTTCTGCAACCTCTTAAGGTTGTAGCAAAAATGCTTTTAAAAGTAAAAAAAAAAAAAAAGTTGGCCATGCCCACCCAGTCACATTACCCCCCCCAAGCCACGCCCACAGAACCGGTAGTAACAAATTTTAGATTTCACCCCTGGGGTGAATAGATGAGTGCCATAGGCAGGCACTTATGACCCCAAGCAGACCAGCAGGGGCTATGGGTGAACTAATGGGGGCTAGGGGCAGATGCTACAAAGTGCAGGTGGGGGTTTATGGGGTAACAGATCCAGGGATCTCGTACTTCATGTGGGGATCTTTGGGAGAAAAAGTGATAGGAGTGACTTGTGACCTCCTCTACCAACTTCCCTATTGACTAAGCTTGTGGGAAACTGGCAAGAAAGGTGATCACATGATTGTGGGGATATGTGGCAGCTGGAACTCTGAGGACAGGTCATAAGTTCCCCTCATTCAGTGCTATTGTAACTTGGAATGGTCACTGAACAACTAACCTGAGGACTACTTGTATGTGTATTTTTATATACATCCAACGCTATGTAGATGGCCAAGAATGATTTGAAGTGGATGTTAAATAAACTATAATAAATAAATAGTGTAGAAAAACAGTGAATATCGTAGGTGTAAAAATTTGGACACCCTTTATATCAAGACAAAAGAACCTTTCACTAAAATATACAACTTCCAAACATTTCCTGTAACCAACTAAGAATTGTTTTGAGATTTTTTTTTCTCCCAGAGCTTTCCTTGCTGTTGTCCTCTTTTTTTCTAGCCAGGAAATATTTTTCAATAATATTCAAGTCTAGTTCATTCCCAATTTTTTATTGTTCTTTCCTGAAAGTACTTCATACTCGATTTGCAGTATGTTTCTAATTATTGTCCTGTTGAAATAATCCTGTTAGCTTCAGTTTCTGCTTAGTGTGGGACATTTATTGTTGATCTTGTTGTTTTTATTAAGACTTATATCCTATTTTTTATTTTGATTAACTCAAAATTGTCTTCTAAATTTCCCCACATAAACAATTCTGCGAGATGGATTGTGCTGAGAGAGAGAGTATCTGACCCAAAGACATACAGCGGGTTATCATGTCTATGGGTGGACTGGAGCTCACAATTTTCCAGTTTCTAAGCACCTTTGCTTTCTCCATAGCTCAATTTCAAATCCAAGCGAGCCTAATTTCTAGTCAGTACAACTAAGGAGATAAGTGACTTCCTCTTTTTTGTATAGGTGTATGTATTTTAAAACCTCAGTAGATGGCAGCAGAACCAAATTGACCTTGGCTCAGAAGTAAGCAGAGTCAGCACTAGTTAGTGTCTGGGTAAAGGAACGGCCAAGGTTGTTGGATAGCCATGGAAATTAGGGGGTGGGGGAATACCAGTAGAAGGCAATAGCAAACCAGTTTTTTAATATTGCCAGTAAAATTTCATGGCCCAAACCACCAGTACTCAAGGATGCTTTTACTTTTAAAAAAAAATACTTTAAAAGTATAGGGTAGATTTGTGCAAGAATGCTGCCCCTGTGAGGTGAGTGGAAGCAATTATACACCTCCCTAAAAAATAATTTAAAAAATTAAAATGGAGAAGTCTGTTTAGAAAATTGACATGACATACTTTATGCCAGAGGTCTGGAAAAGAGCTGATGTAATTCCCATCTTCAAAAAAAAAAAAAAAAAAAACCAGATCCAGGAAACTACAGACCTATCAGCCTGATCTCAATACCAGAGAAGATTCTGGAAAAGATAATCAAACAACGAATCACCAAACACCTAGGAGCAAACAAAGGAATAACCAAAAGCCAACATCGGTTTGCCAAAAACAGATCATGCCAGACTAATCTTATTGCATTCTTTGACAAAGTGACAAAATTAGTGGACCAGAGGAATGCTGTCGATATAATTTACTTGGACTTCAGTAAAGTGTTTGATAAAGTAGACCATAACCTACTACTAGATAAAAATGTGAGTTAGACAGCATCACCACCAGATGGATTCATAACTGGCTGACCAATCACACTCAACGTGTAGTCCTCAATGGAACTGCATCTATGTGGAGGGAAGTATGCAGTGGAGTACCCCAGGGCTCTGTTTTAGGCTCTGTGAAGTGCTCTTCAACATCTTCATCAATGACTTGGACGAGGGGATAGATGGGGAACTCATCAAATTTGCAGATGACACCAAGCTGGCAGGAATAGCCAACACTCCAGAAGATAGGCTCAAGATACAGAAGGATCTTGACAGACTTGAACAACACGCTATCTAACAAAATGAAATTCAACAGTGAAAAAAGTAAGGTTCTACAATTAGGGAAGAAAAACAAAATGCACAGGACCGTATATGTGGTACCTTGCTTAATAGTAGTAACTGTGAGAGGGATCTTGGAGTCCTAGTGAACAGCCATTTAGATATGAGCTAGCAGTATGCAGCAGCTGCCAAAAAAGCCACACGGTTCTGGGCTGCATAAACAGGGGGATAGAATCAAGATCACGTGAAGTGTTAATACCACTTTATAATGCCTTGGTAAGGCCACATTTGGAATATTGCATTCAGTTTTGGTCGCCACGATGTAAAAAAGATGTTGAGGCTCTAGAAAGAGTGCAGAGAAGAGCAACAAAGATGATTAGGGGACTGGAGGCTAAAACATATGAAGAATGGTTGCAGGAACTGGGTATGTCTAATTTAATGAAGAGAAGGACTAGGGGAGACATGAAAGCAGTGTTCCAATATCTCAGAGGTTGCCACAAAGAAGAGGGAGTCAAACTATTCTTCAAAGCACCTGAGGGTAGAACAAGAAGCAATGGGTGGAAACTAATCAAGGAGAGAAGCAATTTAGAACTAAGGGGAAATTTTCTGACAGAACAATTAAAAAGTGGAACAACTTGCCTGCAGAAGTTGTGAATGCTCCAACACTGGAAATTTTTAAGAAGATGTTGAATAACCATTTGTCTGAAGTGGTGTAGGGTTTCCTGCCTGACCAGGAGGTTGGACTAGAAGACCTCCAAGGTACCTTCCAACTCTGTTATTCTATTCTATTCTATTCTATTCTATTCTATTCTATTCTATTCTATTCTATTCTTCTATTCTATTCTATTCTAACAATGCAAACACATCCTTTATGATCCTCTGGAAGAATGTGCAGTTATACAAAGAAAACATGAGAATTCCGTGACATCTAGTTATAGTTATCTTAGCTTCTTAAACTAGTTAAAGAAATTCAACCAGTTTGCTTTTCTGAAATATATCAGCAGTATTTCCTTGTAACATAAATATGTGGTACTTACATATAGAACAAAAACAGAACTAATCATGTCTTCTTTTTTTCCATAGAGATAATGGCCACTACCTGGGATTTATTTGATTCTTTTAATGCTTTGGAAGAAGCAACAGCAGAAACAATTAGTGGAGCGCTAACTACAGTGGCTGGTAAACCAGCGGCAGCCAAAGAGCGTGACAAAGCTATCTCCCTTGGTTCTATGGAAGGTACTTTTACATATTATATTTAAATTTCCATATCTTCTCCCAGCCATACCAAGATTTACATATTACCTGTATATCAAGATTATTATATGTAAAAAAGTATATCGGGGTGGTTTTACCCTTTTAACTAGATTATATCATTAAAAATGATGAGGTATTATTGCTATTGACTTGGGTTATCACAATGAAATGAATTCTCTTTTTATTTTTCTTGCAATTTTCTGATATGGGATCAAATAAATCCTAATGAGTAATTCTATAAATGTTAATCTAGACAAAAATCCATTTTTTAAAATGGAGTTTACTCTCCAGTGCATAACATTTCAGCATTTATGAAAAAAATGCACTAATACTGAATTTTACATTAACAATATATAAATACTGAAGGAATAGTTTACAGCCTAGAATTCCATCTCTATTGAAATGGTTTCAAGGTGCAAAACACTCATAGGCACACAGAAACACACACATATACATGTATCCAAATTGTAGATTGAATTGGAGACTGAAATGTCAAAGTAATCTCCTCTGGAAAAATAGAAGAATATAAAACAAAACACCATATTGTAACATTTAATACATTATTTATTAATAGATGTTTATTCTGCCCTTAAAATTCCAAGTCAGTTCAGAAAATGAAAAACTGAACATTATTTTCTCTTTCTTCTAATACTTCAGATGTTCTCTTTGTAACATTTGCTGGGTTTTTTTCTCCTTTCAGAAAGCTTTACTTCAAGTTCCATTATTGATCTTGAAAGTGTAATTCTCTCCCGAATTCAGGAAGAAACAGAAGACCACTCAGAACTTATATTTAAATCTGACAAATTTAATCAGGATCTATTTTATATGGAAAGAGTCCTAATAGAGAATATTTTCCAGTCAAAACTTGCAGCTTATCGGCAACTTCCTATCCTCATAGGTACATAAGTGATCAGGTATTTACTCATCAGCCTGAGTTCAGGAACAATTTCTCTTATTGTAAAAAAAATATTTACGTTAATATACAATACAGTAATGTTATTCTTAGAAGAAAGAATAGGGAAGGAGTTCTCAAACCCACTGCTCATGAATCAACTTTATTTATACAAATCCTAATTTGCTTCCTGAAAAGAAAATGTTAACCTGGTTTACAAATGAGGTGTTAGAATGTTTTGATACCTACAATCTAGAACAAAGGTCTTCAGTTAGTGGGTTACACCTTTTTTTTTTTTAATTTGATTTATATGCCGCCCTTCTCTGGAGACTCAGGGCGGCTTACAATGCGTTAAGCAATAGCCTTCATCCTTTTGTATATTTATACAAAGTCAGCTTATTGCCCTCACAAACTGGGTCCTCATTTTACCTACCTTAGAAAGGATGGAAGGCTGAGTCAACCTTGAGCCTGGTGAGATTCGAACTTACAGTAATTGCAGACAGCTGGTGTTAATCACAGTGCTTTTAGTCTGCTGAGCCACCAGGCCCCTCAAAAAGACATCAGTGTCACCCTCATTATTTTGTTGTTGAAGAATTAAATCAGAGCTCCTCAAGGCTTGACTTTTCTCCAAATGTCAAGATAAATGTGGTCAGTTACAAAAAACATTTTCCCTTCAAGGCAAACTCAAGAGACTTAAAGAATTTTTTTTTAGAAATGTAAGTAAAAGGCAGAAGAAGGGTCTGAGCCCTCCGGCAGTGCACATAGGTTTTATGAACTTTCATATTTTGGGACCAAATCCATTTCACAAAACAGGAACTAAAGTAACTTCCACCATAGAACTTAAGTACAAACAAAGAGGGTAGGATGATGCCAGAAAAACATTTTACAGAAGGGAAGCTGGTAGTCCTCCCAGAAGCATACAGAGGCAACATTTCCTAAAACGTGAGTTAATGAATATAGTACTATACCAATAGCTTTAAAAAAAGAACAGCTAAAATCCAGACAAAATTGCCTACACAAATCCAGAGAAACATATCTCCCCATGGATATGTAAAGGAAGAATTCTTTCTCCCCCATCCCAACCTTATAGTTCTGTTCCTTTTATTAAAATTATTTGGTTGCTAATTGTAAACTGCTCTGAGGTTTAGTAGATTAAGAGAGAAAAAGGAAAATATGAATGAATGAATGAATGAATGAATGAATGAATGAATGAATGAATGAATGAATTTCTACCATTCCATTTATTTATTCTATTCCATGTATTTTTTTCTCCCTTTTGGGCATTCTTTATAACAAATTAGTCTTGTTTTTTGGAGGCAATGCTGGAAATAAACAAATCATTAAAAGCTTTTCTTAACGCTAGCTTCTTGTTTTTCAAAACATGAAAATGTTTATCTTGTTAATTCAGAAGAGATATGAAGATGGTAGATACCATGGCAAGTAATCTGTGGATATTGGGAAACTTTTTTTTTTTAAAGGAGAAAATGAGAACATTTCAGACATTGCATAGAAGAGTAGGATCTTGGGAGCAAGACTTGTCCTTTAAGTGTCTCTGGCATGCTTTATTGCATTTATATCATGCCTTTGCTCTTGGAGCTTATACTCAAAAAAGTTGAGAAAACACTGTATATAAATGAATAAGCCCTAATAATTTCTCTTTAGATTTGTGGGTCTGTAGTTCCCACAAATATATTCACCAGCCAATATATTTTGGCTTGTGAATGTTGGGAATAAGGCATCTGAAAAAGCAGGCAGGTGGCTGTTTAGCCAACATATGGAAAGTTTAATGTCATTTTGAAGGAGAAAAGGGAGGAAGGAGGAGGAGGAATGATGAGTTGTAAAGGAGACAATATTCTTTTTTTTTCATTGATGTAGAATTCTAATTTTTACCAGGAGCTGTTTTCATTTTAGATTTATAATTAGCTACAAATGCCAGTGTTCCTTTGATTTTTGAAACTGGAGCCTTAGAAACTATGAAAAGGCAATAATATAGTGCAGTATTAAAAATAAGACTCCAGTGATAGATTAAAGGAAGGAGTTCCCAGGTCCAAAAAAAGCTGCAGACTCTTTGGATCCAGCTGGCTTTGCTGTTGAAGCTTTTCCCACACTGGGAACATTAAGCAGGGCTGAACTCTTTTCAAGTATTGGTGATACATACTGTATCTTCCTTAATAGAACATGATATGTGAGAATGTTTCTACATTTTAATTTGTAATTTCAATGGCGATAGCTTCAGATCTCATTGCCATTTGGATATAAAATAATCCTGGCTAAAACTAGGTTCAATTATGTTGTGTTTATCAAACAAGAACACCTCCTATAGAGCTAATCTCTACAGTAGATGACTTCTCTGTTTATATTTCAAAGGGAGAGTGAAAAGTAGATCTCTTGGTGCCCTCAGACCTTTCATTGGGAATCATGGCAGTCATCAATATCTAGATATTGGTCAGGCTATATAACCAATGCCTGTTGGGGAATATAATGATATCGGCATTTTCTTGTTTTTCTGCTTATATTCTTAGAGCCAGAAAAATCTGAATATAGTGAATCGGAATTTGATAATATATCAGTAAAGGAGGAGGAAAAGGAGGAGGAAGAAGCGGCTGAAGAAGAACAGACATCAATGAAATCATCCTTGCTGTTAGAGTTTGGTGAACGACAAGAAGAACTACCACCACCATTTATGGAAGCCTTGTGGTCCTATGGATGCAGTTTGACGAAAGGCAACAATGTGAGCTGTATGGCTTGGAACAAGTTCAACCCTGTAAGAGACCACTAAATTTCTGATGATGTATATATTATGTTTAAGGATATGCAACTGGGCTTCTTTCCACCTTTAAATCCTCAGTAAATGGTACAGAGGATCAGGGCAAAGGAGCTCCATTTGTGTACGATTTCTACACAGTTTTCAGGAATCTCCTTTCCTCTTATACCTACCTCAGCAGACATTCTTGACATTCTATGACATTTTCAAGAACATGAAAAGTCTGTGGTGAGAAGAATACAGCACAGAGAAATTTTCTACTTATTCTCATTCGCCTAAATATGGAACCTAATTTTATTTTTCTAGTTGCATATATCTAAATCTGGAACATTAAGTATATTAGAAGAAGAGGCTTAGGAACCTTGATTTCCATGCCGGATAATGTTTGTTTATCCATTTTTTTTTAAATGTAAGGGAAACAATTTACCATAGAGAGGAAAGGATTCTGCACATTACCCATTCTACTAGTTCAGAATTGGAGAATTCCACATGACATGTTGTTTGAAAGTATTTTGATAATAGGTAGCAATTAATTGTTTCTCTAAACTAGTTTGGAACCAGCCTAGAAACCGGGGTGAAATCCAGCAGGTTCTGACAGATTCTGGAGAACCGGTAGCGGAAATTTTGAGTAGTTCGGAGAACCGGCAAATACCACCTCTGGCTGGCCCCAAAGTGGGGTGGGAATGGAGATTTTGCATCCTTCCCCTTCCACGCCCACCAAGTCACGCCCACCAAGCCACACCACACCCATCAAGCCATGCCCACAGAACCAGGAGTAAAAAAATTTGGATTTCACCACTGTTAGAAACTCTTGTGCCAAAGAAAGGGAGTGAGTAAATATTCACCAAGAATCTTTCTCAACCTCAAAAACTTTAAATTGTATAGACCTGAACTCCCAGAACTCCATAGCCAGTTGATGTCCACATATCCCAAAGTTGTTGAAGTTGAAAAATTGACTTCATTGATTAACAAGGGCTTTGTAGTGTTTTGGGGGAAAAATGCTTCATGGCACACAAGTACACATAGACAGAATTTGTTTCCAACTCTTTAAATCAAAGACATCTTTTCCTGGAATTTTCTGGCCACAGCTAAAAAATCCCACAAAGAGAAAAAACTGCTTTAGTTATTGTAGAGAACAACTAAAAGCACTGTTTGCCTTTGAATCTTGACTGCTTAAACCTATTTGACTCAGCTTATGAACAACTGGTATTCAGGCTGGATTTTTGGCTCTGAATGAGATTTAAAATATATTGCCTACTTTACATTGCTGTCTGACATCAACTGTCCAGATTCTTTATTTCTGTCTCTCTACCACCTTTCCATAAAGCTTTGCCTTGTTTGTCCCCTTGAATTGCAGAGTTTCTCCTTAGCCTTATTTATCAATATTTTTTCAACTATCTAATAACTAACATCCTTCTCTTCTTTTTTTCAGACTTTCATTTCTTCTATGGTCTTCCTAGCTATATGTTTCTCAGCCTTGCTGATTAGCCTACTTTCCCTTTTTTCCTTCATATTTCCTAAATTTAATCCCCCTCTGCATCATTTTTTACTTATCAAATTTCCCCTGGATTAAGGCTTTTCGGGGTGATGGCGGCGGCAATGAACCTTTTCTTGTTAAGAGTTGGCCGAATTACAAACCAGTTTTCTGCTTTCAGACCTTAATCATGACAGTAGTTAGAATACATCTACCATTCACTGGGAGAGGTTTCTCCACCATCATCAACACTAACTACAGCATATGTCACTAAAACAAAATACAGACTATAATAGCAATTTTCCACCCCAGCAATCAGTGTTGGTAAACATTATTTCTGTCCTACCCTAGGCAGCAAAGTTGTTATTGAGTTGTTTGGGTGGCTTTACTCGTAAGGGCTGGTAAAACAGGAAGCAGGAGTTCTTACACTAGAGAAGGCCAGTATATAACCCTATCTCAACCAACTAGACTATCAGGTGACCCCCAAATGGAAAGGGCCAGGGAGAGATGCCTAAAGTTTAAACCTTGAACAATGACTTTTCCTGCAAAGAACTATTGTATTCATTCTTATCTGTAATAAAGATGCTAAGCCTGCAGAGTTGGGTCTGGAAATATTCTGTTAAATCCAGACCACTTTTCAATAAGGAATGAAGGGTCTGAAGAATTATGATTGTATTAGTATTAATTTGACACTATCAAGGCTGTTTTGTGCCAATAAGACAACTTGTTCAACTTGATACCTTTTAGGTTGAGAATGCAGTGCTCAATTTGGTGCTAAACTGACTGGAAATTTGGAAGTAGTAGTCTCTATGGATGTGGAGGACATCTCATTGTGGAAAAGCTCTATTATTTATTGGCTTGCTTTACTGAAATGCTCAAAATGAAAGTCATGGCAATTTTAATGTTATGTTGGCTTGTAGTAATCCACATTCTTGGCTCTTAGGATCTTTTAGCTGTTGGTTATGGGCAGTTTCGTTTTCAAGAGCAGAAGAAAGGCTTGGCATGCTGCTGGTCACTGAAAAACCCTATGGTAATGCACACACTTAAAATATTAAACATAATTTTAATTGAATTGGTTGCATTTTTATTGCAATTGATAATGATGCAATATATTTTTCATGCTTGCTTAATATCAAATTTATTTACAATCTCAGACCAATGCATATCTGAAGCCATAACAAAACATTTGGTAAAATCCAGATGATTCATTGAAGCCTACCTTTCTTTTGAAAGATAGGCCATTTAATAAACTATCTAATTCAATTCATATTATCTCAGAAGTCCTACCTTACCTTTTAGCATTAGAAATCATTCTCTAATTTTATAAATTATTTAAAAGTATTGTGGTTTATTAACATTATTAAAATACATACTTTTTAGAACATAAACTTTTAAGTTGTAAAACAAATATTATTTAAATTAATTACTAGGGCTTATATTGTTTTTATTAACATGCGTACCATTGTGCATTGATGTTATGGCTTTGTAAATTGTATCTAATAGCTATATAATAATCAGCCTAAAAAATAAACAGTTGTCATTACAGCCTGCCTTAAAGGAATTCTTGGGTTCTGTGGCTATCAATAATTTCATACACACAAACACACATATGCAAATTTCAAATAGGGATATACTTAATTAGAAATGTGAAAGTAACTTTAAAAAATTATGAATTTTGTGATGTTCTTTTACTTAACTTTTTATTTTTACAATCTGTTCAGTGGCCAGAACGTATCTACAACTGTGTTCATGGGGTAACTGCATTGGATTTCTCTACAGCCAATCCAAACCTCCTAGCAGTAGGACTGTTTAATGGGACAATAGAAGTTTACAATGTCCAGTCCCGAAATCAAACTTCAGTTCTAGATAACAGGTATGACATCATAAGTCTTCTAAGCTCTTCCTCAGACTTCTTATTGTTATAATGAATTGTTTTGGGAAAAAATACAGGTTTATAAGCAGTGCTAAGGCCTCATTTTGTAATATTTAATTTAATACTTAATTCCTTGTCTGTATGGTTGTGGCTCCTTTGAAAATTTGGAGGGATGACAGGTATTATTTTGTCCTTCCTGTTTCTCTGAATGGTAAGCAGTTTTAAGAATCCAGTGTTACTGTGCCAGTTTTCTTTGAAAGAAACAACTTTCCAGAGAGATATCCCTGTTTCACCTGATGCTGTTCACTAACAGAGATATCTCCTTCTACTTCCAAACAAATAGAGTTAAAGTGTATCTCAAAAAAGCAGGAGTCTTATTTTCTTTCAAATTTATTTTATTTGATTAAAATGTGCTGCTGGTGGGTAGGAAACATGCTTCTCTTCAAGTGTTTTAAGGCTAAATCTTTAAGAACATTTCCAAACTGTTTAAGCCTTTCATCCTTCTATTTAAATAAGCTTTCTTCAATGTTAAGAATTTTTTGAAGTTACAGAAATTATTTGTTGGGATCTACTGTAAACCCCGAAAAATTTCACCATCAGAGGTGAAATTCTTTTAATTTATTTGTAGTAAGAGAGATAGTGCTGGTGTGTACAGAATTTCAACTTTATGCTTATGTGTCAGGTAACTGTTCCAAGTTGATAATGCATTTTCATAAGCTGCATGTATGCCTGCTTGTATAATATATAATATAAAAACAAGGGATATAATATACCCTGTTTTCCCCAAAATAAGACATCCCCTGATAATGAGCCCAATCGGGCTTTGAGTGCTTGGCAATAAAGCCAAGCACTTATTTCAGGGTTCAAAAAAATATAAGAGAGGGTCTTATTTTAGGGGAAACACGGTAATTGTTCTCCTGCAGTTTTTTTTCTTCTGTACCATTTTGCTTTAGAGGCTGTATAAACTCAGGGGTTGTATTTTTATGAAAATATGTTTCAGCGAATCCCACGATAAACATTTAGGGCCTGTGTGGCAGCTGAGATGGGTGGAGCAAGACAGGGGAACAAGTGGAGAAGACAAAGGAGAGATCCTTGTCTCCATTTCAGCAGATGGCAGAATAACTAAATGGTTTGTTCGGAAAGGACTGAGCTGCACAGGTAAATATATTCACCTTATACAATTATCTGAAATAATTCAAGGTTTGCATTTCAAGACTTGTGTTGATTTTTATTTGTGATTTATCATCTTAATGTTAATGGATTTTATAAAAAATAGTTTTATAATGACAGATTTGTATGTCTATATGAACTTTTATGCAAAAATATCCTCAGGAATATCTACTATCATTAGCAAAAATGAAATAAAGTACTGCATTATTCTTTCATTTTCCTTCTTCAGCGTTTTGCTATAGGCAGGCTGGTGAAATAAAAACTGAAATTAAAAATAAATGTGTTTTTATTCACATAAAATATTTAATCAAGCTGAGCACACCTGCAGAATAGCTGACATTAATGTCATAGAATCTACATTATCACTTCTCTGCTTGATAACTGAGTGACAAGATCCGGTTTTCTAAAAAGAATTAATATGTTAATATTATTATTCTTGCTTCTTGCATGTTTTTTTTATTCACAAAACTGCTAAATGCATCTATTCAAAAATCTGCTTCCACCATATGTACTGATCAGTCTTCCCAACTTGTGCCTTCCAGAAATATTGGACTGAGACCATTCAGAAATTGGGAAGTCATAATCCAACCCACTCAAATGATATCAAGTTGGGGAAATTGTTGGATAATTTTGTTGGGTTGGGACAGGAGGGATGCGGTAATATTTTAGAACTGTATATAACCTAAAATACATAGAGAGCAGTTCCATTGCATGAGAGTTTTTCTCCCCCAATGATTGTATAAGCATGAGATTGTGTTCATGATTGAGATTTTGTAGTGGGGTGGCATCGTAGGTGGGGAGGTTAAACCCTCTTTCATGTTCATCCGATGCACAATCATTTTTTGCATGTGGTTTTAAAAAAAGATAAGGACATTTCCCTTTATTTCGGACAAATAATCCTGCATCTTTTGTATGCGAGAAAGAGTCCGAACAGCCCTTATAATCAGGGCTGATATTTGCAATTGTTTAAATTACAGACCTAATGAAGCTAAAGCGAACTACAGCTGAAAAGAAAAAAACAGGAACAGAAAGGAAAAGTGAAGCACTTATATCTCGACAGGCTCCAGGACTATGCTTTGATTTTCATCCAAAGGTATTTAATTGATTATAACGTCTTAATTCATACTCCCTGGCCTGAAATATTTCATCAGTATTCATGTAAGTTATAACAACAATACTTACAATATTCATGTAAGTCATAGCCCCAAATAGCGAAGCACCTGATAGGGGTGGTTTGTTCCGATCAACTGTTTGGAACAAGCTGCATGGCACAGCTTTTTAGATCTCCAAACTAAGCAGAGAAATGGGTATCTTTTCAAAGATGGCAGAGCTTTCATGCTCTATCCAATGTGGTAAAACACCTTGTGCTCTTTATTACCTGATATCAGGTGGAAAGACCAGAAATCTTGGGTAGTCGTGCTTTTGGGGAAATTGAGAGCAGTATCTCCTTTAATCACCACCATATCCTGCTCAATGTATTCCAGGAGAAGAAGAAGTGAAAGAAAGAAAACAGGAATTTAACTCATCCATATATCTAAACTAGATATATTTTCATGCAGGATTCCGCCCTCACCCCCCCCCCTTCAATATGGTAACTTCCCAAGAAGTGAAAACTGGGAGACATACGAATCTCTTTATACATCTTGGAATATAACACATACAGTATGTGAAAAAATAGCATATCATGAAAGAAGAGGATCTCTTTCTGGGGAGAGAAATAAAGTATGGCATGACTGTAGTAAGTCTGAGGCTAAAATGGAATGTTTCATTAGTGGTTTTCAAATGTGGTTCCCAAAGCCAGAGGAGTTTAAGCTGATGGCATTCAAAGTGGAAAGCTGCTCATTGTCACTTGTGCAATTTTGCTATGCTGCCCTGATGTCCAGAAGAATGCTGGAAAATGATGGTAGGTCCCTTCCCATCCTCTCCTATCCTCTGACATCCACCCTTTTTGCCTTTGTAAATGTGGTTGGTTATTCTATATTGTTTTAATAAAACATCTGATTATGCCGTTGGTCAAATTCAGTGGTTTAAACATTTGAAAATTCCCCTATATTAGAATTTAGGAATTTTAAATATTATCTGGAAAGGAGAAAAGCAACCTTCCTGGATTAAAGATTGTCATAAAGGCATCCAAGTTGAATAAAATAAAAGGGGCCACAGTAATTTGGTTTTGTTTCAGGACACTAATATCTACATGGCAGGAACTGAAGAAGGTTATATTCATAAATGTTCTTGTTCTTATAACGAGCAGTACCTGGAGACCTACAGAGGACACAAGGTAAGAAAAATTAAACAAACCTGATCAAATAAACCGCACTGTTGTTTTGTTTTGTTTTTACTCCCTCTCTTTCTCTGTTAAAATATCTCAATTTGAGGGCTTTCCAGCAGTTCACAAGCAGATCGAGATTTCCAGACTCATGCTGTGGGCTAGTTTGGGAAATGGCTCTATTTTTTTTCTGACTTTGCACCGCTTTTCCTGAAACCAGAGCAAAGCTGTTGTTTTCTCTTTGCAGTGCTCCAGTTCTGAAGAGTTTAGGGATTGCTGCCCGCCTCCACTGGTGGGAAGGAACTATTGCCTCCCCTGCTTTGTGACTCAAGATAATCTTTCTTGGTACCTGTCTATGGGCTTATTTAGAATAGATACTCTCCCTCATTCTAACTACTACAGAAATATGCAGTCCTGCTTTTGTCTATTTGAGAATATACTTAGATTTGAAAGGGGGGAAGAGAAATGTGCTTAGATTTGGAAATGCTGCTGCTATTTTCATAACCCACGAGAGGTTTTTAATAGCAATAGCACTTAGACTTATATACCACTTCACAGTGCTTTTACAGCCCTCTCTAAGCAGTTTACAGAGTCAGCATATTGCCCCCAACAATCTGGGTCCTCATTTTACCGACCTTGGAAAGATGAAAGGCTGAGTGAACCTTGAGCCACTGGGGATCGAACTGCCAAACTACTGGCAGCTGTCAGTCAGCAGAATTAGCTTGCAATGATGTATTCTAACCACTGCGCTACTAAGGCTCTTTAAGGCAGGAGGAATGGTATCTTCGCAGTCAGCTTTGCATTCAAGAAAACTTCCCTCATTTTTTCTTTCCTTTTTCTTCGTAAATGACCAGACTTAACATATGCAACATATTGCAAATATATAATGTGTTTTATTTCCCTTTTGTGTGAATTACACCTGTGATGGCTTTTTTATATGCGGCAACCAGCAGGATCTTAAGAATGACATTCTTTGAATTCTGTTGCTAACCTAGGAGAAGGACTGATTGGCTCCTGGTGTCTCTTGCCTAGTTCCTATGGGCATTTCTATCCACCCTCTGCCCACCACTTATTTTCTTCAGTAACTTGGCATGGCCACACAGATCTTCACTGGGAATGGGAAATAAGGAAGTAAAGAATAGAACAACCACCTGGCCAGCCAGTAGAGGAGCATACATCTAAAGTTTAAATCAATACCTTGCTCCTCATTGTTATAATTTCCTTATTGCATTTATGTTAGCAGTAAGGAACATTAAAGGTGACTCGGCCATATAGAATAGGGAGTGGCATAAGCAACTCTCATTGCTCCTAGAAAGTCAGGTGGATGATGATAAGGTACTGCTGCATTGGGTTCAAGGAAGATTATGTAAATCTTAGAACTACAAGGAGAGACAGAATGGGTGTTCCCATTAAGGAAAAATTGGTCAGTCCACAACTTCCAAGGGAGCATACAAAACTCGCTCTTCAGGAACTGAACCAAAAGTTAATCATCTTCCTTTGCCAATCCATCTGGAAGTTGCAGAGTATCATGAGGACTCAGAATGTAAAAGAATCCAATTATGTCTTTATTCAGCTTTTCCTTTGGATTGTAATCAATATAGTTAACCTGGTTAAAAGTATGTCATTCAGCATATTAGTGTTCAGAATTCAATTATCTTCTAAAAGAAATTTGAGCTTATAGAGGAGCAGTATACTTTTGCATAAATATTACTGTATCATTGTTGATCTTTGTTGCCCTATTCATGACTATATCCAAATATGATTACTTCAAAAAATGTACTAACTTTGCATTTAAATCGCTACATTTCTCTTGCTTTTCCTTAAGGGCCCTGTGTATAAGATCACATGGAATCCTTTCAGCACGGAAGTGTTTCTAAGTTGTTCTGCAGACTGGACTATCATGCTGTGGCGCCAGGATTCAGTTCGCCCAGTTTTAATCTTTACTTCCACTACCAATGTTATTTATGATATCATGTGGTCTCCAAGTTCTGCCTATGTGTTTGCAGCAGTGAATGAAACCAGGGTAGAAATCTGGGATCTAAGTGTGAGCACGTAAGTAACAGCATTTCCTAAAAATGATTTTCGACCAACACTAAACAAAATAAAGATCATAGACTACATTTCTATCGTTCTGTGGCTACAACTGGACTATACCAACTGCGTTGCCAGCATATTAATAAATTTATCCACTACATTATTCATATTTCTGACCTTGAAGAACTTTTTCTACATCCCCCCCTTCCCTTGTATGTCTCTCTTAAGTAATAAGCTTAGTAGTAAGCTGCTTTGCAAGACAGTTGTCTGAAAAGTAGATAAAATGTAACATAATTAAAATAATACATAGAAAATATTTTTAGGAAACAATAAATAAATAATATTAAACAATAACTGGGTAAATATGGATATCCATACAAAGTGGAATATGCCAAACAACTCTCCAGTTCCAACTGCACATCTTCTGTTATTTATAGGTTGGATCCCCTAATTGTGAATCCTGCTACTGGCAATTTGAAATTCACAACTGTACTTTTTGCTAAAAGTGCAGATTGCCTTCTGATTGGGGACAGTGATGGACTAGTCACTGTTTATGCACTGAAAAATATGACCGTCTCAGACAAAAAAAAGGTAAGTTTCACTGCATGAAAAGTCAGCATTGTTCTGTACCTGATGCAAGCAACTAAACCTCCTGTTCCTTGATAGTAATTTATTATTTTGAATCTGCTGAGTTTGTGGTTGTAATATTGGCCTATAACTGCATCATCGTTCAGATGATGGCTGGCTGAGGAATTCTGGGAGTTGAAGTCCACAAGTCTTAAAGTTGCCAATGTTGGAGACGCCTGGTTCAGACAGTATTTACTGTGGATGCTAAGGCAATGTAATGAAACTGCAGAACAGGTGTTTTCTTAAGGCATTGTTTCTGCCTATAAATTGAAGACAAGTTCAATTAGGATCACCTAATGCTGAGTGCTGTTAAAGCTTGAGCTCAGTAATATTGTCTCAGAAGAAAAACAATCAATCAATTACCAGAAAGTGACGTACAAGATAATTTCAGCTGTTTTAGTCTGGGATTGACAGTTGTGATACACTGTAAATAGAAGATCCAAGTTCATCATTTTCATCTTGTTTACAAAATGGGGAATATTGGGAAAAAAAGGTTTAAGAACTAGGTATAAAATTATAGGCTAAACATATTAGTGAATGTTGGTATAATTGGAATACCTGTATAACATTTGAAAGTATATGGTTTATGATGAATTTCAACTAAATTGTTTTGTGCTAAAACAGTAATGTTTAGTTTAATTATACTATTACACACAAATTTTCTTTAAGATTTTTCAGAACAGAGTGCATAGTGCATAGACTTCTCTTAATGTATTTAAAAATGCCTTTCAATATTTTTGTTTTATACCTATGTATATATTTATTTCTTTTTCAGATGGATATGTTGCATGATATGATCGGCTCTAATCTAGCCAGTCCAGAGTAGTTTTTTTTTAACTGAAATATTTAATAAAAGTGAAGATGATGTAAAACATGGCATTTAATAACTCACCATAAAAATGAAATTATTAAATATGTATGTGGTTCTGTATGTATACGTCTGTAATTGTTTTCCATATATAACACACCTACAAAGATAATCTGTGATGAATGTTTTAAAAAGCCCCTAAATGTTTTTACGGAAAGTACTAATAATTGATTTCAGGTAATCCTCAGTTAGCTACCATAATTGGGACCAGGAATTCTGTTACTAAGTGACATGGTCATAAAACATATGTCCACACCAACTTATGATGACAGTTCTAATAGTTCTGGTTACGGTAGCTAGGTGGGATGTCATATCACCACCATGTGCTACCTCCTGCCAGCTTCTTCATTGACTTTGCTTGAAAGAAGGTGGCAGTGAAGGCCACAAATGGCAATCATGTGACTGCAGGACACTGCAATCATTGTAATAACAAGTCTCCCAAATCCCCCAAATCCAGATTACATGGTGTTGCGATGGCCACAACTTCAAGGACTGCATTCAACTTCGAGGTCTCCACATTCAGCACCACTATAACTTTAAGCAGCCTCTGAATTAATAGTTGTTATAAAAGGATACCTGCAGAAGCAAACACAAGCATTCAAACACAAATAATGAAAAATATTCTTTTTTGCTATGAATGACATCCAGGAAAAGGCAGGTCAGTGTTTAAAGTGGGCCTGGATTCAGGATTGTTTATGTTGATGCTATTCTAATTTTTTTTAATTATTGGGGTGGGGAATGGGATGTTAGGAGAAAGACAAAGAAAGAAAAACCCAAATTTTCTTCCATAGGTAACTAAGATCCACACTGGTATTGATCGGTTAGCATCAAAGTAAGGGAGTCCAATTTATAATTTGGTCATATAAATATAGGAAGTCTCCAGATTATGAACCTCCATCTTTAAAACAACTCCTAGTTATGAATAGACTGCCTGCAGTATTCAAAATGGTGGATGGCCATCTGGCAAAGAAATCCATCTCAAAAAAAGAAAGGCAAGTGTAAGCTGGCAAGGAGAATCCCTGTGCTGCAGGCAGGGTGGTCCTAGTGGTGTTTCTCTCCTGTGTGTGGCTGTGCAACCCAGCCCCATCTACTGTCCCACTGCTATATTTCCACCCCCTCTTCTTCAGCTAACACTTTGCATGTGTTCCTGCTTGTGTTTCTGTGTGTCTGTGTGTGTGTGCTCTGACAAGCCAAGTGAGTGCTGGAAATTGGAAGATTAGGAGGTTTGGAGATCAGTTCTAGGGAATCTTTGGCTTTTGTGGGTTGTGGGGATTTTTTAAGGTATTTTGAAGGGCATGCTGGGCTATATAAATTTGGGGCATCTGGCACACTAAACTTATTTTCAGCAGTTCATGGTAAGACAAACATAACTACAGTAAATAACCTGTTCTGTTTTGCATACAAATTCAATTTAAGGGCAAATTTAGGAATGGAACTTCTTTTAACTTGGCAACATACTCTTTATCAGGATTTGCTCTGAATATTGCTGATTCTTCAGAGTTTTATTAGAAGCAGCACTGGACACTGGAAAGGGAAAGGGCTATTGCTGAACAAGTTCTCCTTCCCCATCTCCAACATAAAACCTCAACTGGTCTTGTCTGCAAGTCTAAACCAATTCTTCCATATGTAGGACATACGACTTTTCTATTTTTAACGGATTTAAAAATTCTACATTATTGAATAATTCTAAACCTTGTAAGCTAGGGAGCTGTCACAAACAAATATTATGATTTTTAGTTGTATCATCAAATTGGCTTCCCAAGCATGGCAACAAGAAATGAATGCTTAAACAGATCAAATTATAAGAAAGCATTAACACCTATCCCTAAGTGCAGGTTACATATTTTTATGAAGAAATTATGTGACAACTGTCTCCTGTCGTGTTTCTAAAGAGAGCATGCATTAAAGTGAACAATGTGTTAATCATTATCCTTCTAAAAGTGACAAAAGGATGCATCCTATCTTTAAGAGCAGATAGAGATCCTTTTTATTCGTTGGTTCTACTAAAGAACTGAATATTTTAATGCTTTTGTAAATGAAATATATCATCAAGGTTAATGGTATTCTATGTCAAAGTTAACAGTCATCAACACATGTCTTGAAGTTGGAGAATATGTGTGATGTAAGGTATCAATAAGTTTCTTTATATTATAGCTACTATGTATTTCAAAGCATAAATAGATGAGCAACTAGTCTCAGCTACTTTTTATAATATAAAAATTAGAAAGAGACTCATTTGTACTTATAGCTGGCCACTATTCAAGGGATTCTGAGCGAACTACTTTCTTTCTAGTCCAAAGGTAAATTATTCTTAAATTAATTTTTAGTAGATATTCCAAAGGATTTGGGATGGCAGAAGCCCATAAAATGAGTACATGTGCCAACCTCCAAAAACATCCGTAAAAAAAAAACCCATATAACAAATTCTAAAAAATCTCCATACCCCAAACTACCAAGTGTGTAATGAACTACAATTACAATTGATCAAACAATCCAGATCGGAATTTGTCAAAGGAAAGATCTACATTTGTATACTGACAGGTTGCTTTTCTTAATGATACAAGGTTCTCTGAGCTAGCTTGCTTCCTTACAGAAAAGATATGGATGCTTTCTTTTTCCAGAGGGCAAAAAGTAGCTTGCATTGCACTCCAAACTGCAATTTTGTGAGTTTCACAGAGTAACATATAGTAACTGAAGATTATCTGTGTTTCCTCATGTTATGCTTATCAGGAATTTCTGTCATTGTACTTGGGGATTGTTTTGCTGTTCCTGCTCCAATATTGCATCTTGCATAATTTACTGCACATAGACTGGAAATGGGCTGTAAACAGCTCTCTTAGGATGGTATCCTACTGTTCTAACAGGCTACTAGCCTGACAACAGTGTTAGCCTTGTGTCTATTTCTTTTGTTTATACATATACTGCCTTTATGATTTTTATACACAACTCAAAAGCAGCAAATATATCTAATAGTCCTCCCACCTCCTATTTTCTCCACAACAACAGCTCTGTGAGGTAGATTGGCTGAGAGAGAGTGACCAGCCCAAAGTCACCCAGTCAACTTTCATGCCTAAAGTGGGACTAGAACTCACTGTCTCCTTATTTCTAACCTGGTGCCTTAACTGCTAGACCAATCTGGCTGTCTCTCTTGTTTCTAGTGATGGAAATAGAGTCCCTGGAAAAGACAAAAGTTAGCAAGCTCAACTCACTTTTCAAGGATCAGGCAATCAAAAATGATTGTTTTAGTACTTATATAGGCATGTGGAGTCAGGTGGCAAAACATTGATCATGAAGACCCAATGCAAGGTCTGTGTTAACATTTTGTATGGCTATCAGGATGCAATTATATATGGTGAGTTTGAGTTATAATGTCATCCATGCATGTTATTTTTAATATCACTATGGCTAGCTGTGGACATCTATGAGTTCTATCAAAAGTTAATTCTGTTATCATCAACAGCTCACAGTTATTTTTAGTTTTATCTACACACACAAGCTGAAGCAAGACACTTTTATGATCTAAAGGCTTTTTCTCAGAGTTTCAACTCTGCAACATCCTATGTCATCCTTGCTAAGTGAAATCCATAATTTCAGAAACTGATACTATCCTAAAATAGATTATATCAGAGTGCAGTAGAAACATAGAAAAACAAATCAAAACACAAAATTCTCTCTCGTTCCAAAATTATTCACTGATGGTTTTCAAAATCTGCAAAATTTAAATACAAAAGATCAATTGCTGGACCAGCACATCTATGATTAAAGCATTGGAAAAACTCAGAGAATCCAATAATTCTGCTAAATGTTCCAAAGCAACCTGGAATGTTCGCACTAGCTAAATTAATCCACTGCTTAAACTTTATAGCAGCCACAATAACTTGCACTTAGTTAAATATCACAAGCAAAATTTTGGGATGTGGGGATGAAGTGCACATTTATAATATTGATCTAAGACAGAATAATTCTATAAATGTTCTGGAACACTGACTGGCTGCTGTTCTTGGCCAATATAGTGATATACTAAAACATCAGTAACTATTTGAGAACAACTCAGGCACATTACTTACAGCACTTAAAGCCATCAGAAAAAACATTTTACTAGTTCTGCCCACGTCATTCAACCAACAGCCCAGATACATATAAATTGATGCCAGATCTCAGCATGAACCTCTAGTGGCTCTTTACTTCTTTCCTGCTCAAATTGCTACAAGGTGTTTTATCTACAAAATGAAGGTGGTACTAGTAGGGCTGCTTTTCCTCTGCGTCATGGCCATACATTCTGAAACAACAACTATTAAACTCTGTGGGAGAGAATTTGTCAGAGCTATTGTCTTTGCTTGTGGAGGATCACGGTGGAGAAGACAACTTGGTGACCCTTTCTCAGAAGGGCTCATAGGTAAGCATATGAATTGCCCCAATATTCATAATTTTGGCATGCAATCAGTCATTGCAATAAATTTACCATTATCTTGATTTTACTATGCTATGGTTTAATAAAAACATTTTAAAGATGAGTTATATTATAAAAGTAATAACATAATTTATAAAAAAGAAACTATCACGGAGAAATCTCATTCTGCCCTATTTTGATGATAGGGACACCAGAAGAGATTCTTAAACGGACCAGAGCTGGCAGTTACCTTTTCAAGTCCCTATGCCTCAACCTTTGCAAGCTTCGAAATCTGCTATAATATTGCATAGGATAATACATATTAATCAGTTTTTAGATTTTTACAAATTATTTTTTTAATGATAACTGTTGGGATTATTTTGTTTTTAGTAGATAGCTAGATATAGATAGATACAGTATATAGGTACAGATATAGAGAATTGAATATAGAATATAGAAATTCAGAACTTTAAATGAGTCTGTTCAGAAATATATTTTGGTGAATGAAGCAACATCTCTTAAGGCTCACTGAAATCAGGTGCATGACCAAGATTATAAAACTCACAAATCAGTTTGCTTTTGATTTTTGAAGTTAATATATAATTCCTATTCTAGTTGGAGAAGCATTTGGAAGAAAATATAATTTTCTTCATTCTTTTGAAAAGAAGTTAGCTTCAATTTGGGATATACTTTCTGGGAAAGCAAAGCTTTCTGAAAGCAATGCTGTTGTTCCAGTATAAATTCTTAAACTGAAACCTCCAGATTGATCTTGAAAATATTAACAACACAGACTATGCACACAGGAAAAATTTAAAACCAGCTTTTATTTGATAATGGTTTTAGATTTTAGGTTTGTGGAGATAAAATCTGAATTTGCTTGTCTCTCATTTTTATGTAATGAAACAAGAAATGCATACATATTTATAATTTAATTTCATTCCACAGATGCCAATGGAAATTACATGGAGAAGTCAAAATCCCAAAGCAACGAATTAATCCAGTACTACATGGAGTCTGAGAAAGATTTGCAAGACATGCAACAGAAGTCTGTTCACAAAAGAAGCAAGGATGTTGTGGAGCTTACAATCACTTGTTGTACTATTGGATGCAGTGCAAACACTATAAATTCACTGTGCTAAAAATATTAAAATTTTGCCGTAGAAGCTTATCTAAATATATCTACATCATATCTACAATATAGCGTTTTCATATCTTTTTTGTTACACTTTGTATTTCCCAGCTCTGCAGATGCTCCAAGCTGCTATTCTGTTTAGGATGTTACACAAATTAGAAACATTTTTTCCATACTTTTGTATCAGTCATCTGAAGTTAGCTGCTTTGTTTCCTAACTTTTGAAATAAATGTGCAATTCAGTAAACTAGTTTCTCTAAATTGTTCTTGTCAATGTTTAAAAATAGTATTGGGCTTGCAAATTAAAAAATCTCTGAACATGTTTCACTTTCTTAGGGAGTTCAAAGAATAGTTTGAATGAATGACTAGAGCTCAGTGGTTCAGTTTAGGAGCTTTAATCCATGATAAAGCTAATAAAAATCCTGACAAATCCTGGAATGACAGCCAGAAGAGACAATATTGATCTATGCATTTCAGTGTTTATTCTTCTAATTACTTTTTGCCTGGACTGATCTCGAAATAATGATGCTTCTGAGGTTTTTGCAAAGAAACTTGCAAATAGTGACGATAAATGTTTGGTGGGGGGGGGAAACTACTTGGGGGAGGAGTGCAGGAAAGAGAATGTTGCAATTTTTTTTTTAAAGAGATAGGGAAAGGCTTACCAACATTCTTGGTTTAAAAACATTTGGTTTCAAGAAATGGTCAGTGCTCCAGAACAATTGCAGATAGCAGTCAGATATTCCCCACTACTCTCACCTCATAGCCTCATTCCAGATGCATTTTAATGGTGGGTTGGGGGGGGGGATATTGCCTCCATTGGACTACAGATTTCAGGTGGTGACTGATGTCTCTACTCATAATCTCTACTCATAAGCCACAAAGTTTTGTGACTGCCTTACTGTGATTCCAACATTTCATGCCTGAAATTTAAATCAGCTTCAAATCAGGTGCTATCATCTGGGCTATTTATTCTTGTGCATCTTGATCTTTTAAGACGAGTTATGATGTACTTATTAATGGAAAAATATAAATACAAATAGACAAAAAGTAACCATAAATGGTTTCTACATGTTTTTATTTCAAATCAAATCTTTAGATTTCTTTTTTTAAACTTTATCCAATTTATCAATACATTTAACAAGTGATTTATTTATATTTATATTATTATATTATTTAGTTGTAGCTGCTCAATAGGCAGCCTCTTAGGAGGTGGACTATTCCTTAACGAGTCATATTCTTCTCTAATCATTTTACAAAAAGAAAGGGAACAACACTTTAATTACTACTGCTATTATCTAATTTGCACAGTACCATATAGTTTCCCATTGCCTTTCTATTAACACAAATACATTTCTCTGAAAAGCCAAATCGTGTTTCTAATGGATCAGTTTATCTTTCAAACTAATTACCTGTATAAGTATAAACAAATCTGCTTATTATGCTTATACACCAATCATTATTCAAGAATGTAAACAGGTAATTGGATCTCACATTTAAACCTATTATTCCATCACAGGTAATTATATCAGGGATACTGAATCTCTTCCTGAAAACCTGCAATGGTTTGTGAACCCTTCTGAATTTTCAACATTTCTGCACAAATATTACTTAAAGTAGGACTTGTTCTCCACACTAAAGAGAACCCAATTAAACTAATGAGTCAAGAACATTATACTTGTTCATTTTTTTATTGAGGAAAATGATACCAAACTACACATTTATGTCATTAATGCAGAGCCACTGAAAAGTCAAAAGGGCTCACAAATTTTTAAGCACCGCTGTATTCAGGACCAAATAACTGCGTCCTTAGTTGCAATTACAATAGTGGTGTCTCAAAAAGTACTTTAACTTTTTCTTCCATAATTAATAGATTATTTAGCAAACGTAACAACTATGCACATTAGTTTATTAATACAACTTATCACCATGTCAATGTGGATAGAAGTATAATTCAAAAATAAGATCTAGTTTGTTTTTCAGCTCACATCTTTTGCATCATCATTCAGAGTAAAGGGCATAGACATTTGCAAGAGCAAACAATGATCTATTTTTAAAGGAGTATGAAGAAAAAGTATCACTTGTAGTGTCCCAAAGGCATCTGCTTCCAATCTGCATGCTCTGTTTACCTAGCTGTCCAATATATATAATCACAATAATTTTGTATCTTGGTACCATCAGGTCTTTTATCCTGGCTTTTATTACCTAGGAGAAAAATATACTTGCTTAAACTCTTAGTTACTGTTAGAGAGTTAGAATTAGAAGTTCTTAGAATACAGTACAAATCTGTTTATGTATTTAACCATTCCATTCTAATTACAATGTATTATGAAATTGGATTTATAATTCCAAATAATTTAGAAGATCAAGTACCGTTGATTGAAAGTCACAAAAGCTGATTCTATAGTTAGTCAGGGCAACTTACTCCTATGTTATAGACAGTTATAAATTCCTAAATTATAAATTGGATCATAAAATCTTGACCTTCAACTGTTCCCTCATGCAGCAGTGACATCATATTCAACATATGAGAAATATATAAGGGCATATAATAGAGAAAAGTATATTCTGAATAGCCTGAAAAGTTCTTTGCAATCTTTTTTATTTTACAAAAGAATAGTAAAGTAGCACCAAGAGCTTCTCAACAAATAACTTGAGATATAAAATCATAGCTGAAAAAGTTCATTTGAATATGTCCTAACATAGGCTAACACAATTATCAAATATTTTTAAAGCTTTCTTAATATTTCACTCTCAATGCTCCATTGTAGAACTCTGTTGCTGAAAAGCAATTGAAACTTCCTTCAAATAAAGCTTAAGATAGGCTCCCCTCTATCTGCACTTTAGGGTTTCTATAAGATCTATTCCAATACTGATTTTAATTCTGACTTAAGTGATAATTTTGTACCTCAGATATAGTTTTAGTCATTTGCCTGCACAACTCTGCTTCATATTGTTCTTCCTGTAGATAACTTACTACCACATCCTTCAAGATGTTATTCACAGCAGTGATTGGGAAATACTTTGTAGGACCTGAGAAGCAGAGAGAGAACTCATTTTATTTAATCCATGTCATGCCTTTCTATTCGATTAAAAGGTAGATAACAATTATTAAAACAGAAATAGGAAAGATGCGTAAACTGAGTTTAATATTAATCATCAGTTAAAATTTGACAAAAGTGTCCCTTTTTTATAAATTTGCTAAACACAGAGAGAAAAGGGAGCCAGGGTAATTTCTAAGGAAATAACTTTGTTGCTGGTATCCTTAAGATTTATATTGACTGCTTCCCTATGACTATCATTAAGTGTTGTACCTTATGATTCTTGACGAATATATCTTTTCTTTTATGTACTCCGAGAGCGTATGCACCAAGACAAATTCCTTGTGTATCCAATCACACTTGGCCAATAAAGAATTCTATTCTGTTCTGTTCTGTTCTGTTCTGTTCTGTTCCGTTCCGTTCCATTCCATTCCATTCCATTCCATTCCATTCCATTCCATTCCATTCCATAGCCTGAAAGGATTCAGGCCTTCTTGCAGATGCCCACTTTGTAATCTTCATAAAAGGGGAATCTTTAGAAGGGCCTCTGCTCTTAATGCCTGAACAGATTTACCCTCAGGGGGGTTCTCCTTCAAACAGTTGGTCCTCAGGCTGTTTAGAGCAGAGGTTCTTAATTTTTGTGTTTGTTCTCTTTGAGAATCTGGTGAAATCTGCGGAGCCTTTCTTGGAAAAATGGATTCAGTGCCCTAATTCAGTGCTCAAGTGCCCTAAGACATTTCCTATTTATCATCAGCATTTCTATCTTGTTAAATTTTAATTTCAATCCCCCCCCCATTCAGCCCATTATCAAGCTCAGTAAAGAGGATTTTTAGAATAATGGTGGGTTTTGTTGATGTACTGATGGCACTTCACTCCAAGGATCTGATTTCCCAAGTGACTGAATCTAGATGTTGAACAGCATGGAGGACTAAATATAATGCTTTGAGACAAAGCAGGTAAATGATCTGTGATTTCAAAAAGTAGTTACTTAACCCTTCCTTCTCAAAACCAACTGATGGAAAAGAGCTACATTGCAAAACTGTTGCATACTTGAATTATTTGGAGCAATGTTTTTTGTTAGCAGCTTTCTGTGTTAAATGTGCTTTTTGCTGGTCTCTCATGAATGGCAACTTTATATTTTAACGAGCATCTCCCTGAAACTTTGAATTACATTAAAGTAGAATGCATATATTTAGTATCTGTGAATGACATTTTTTTCCAACTGGATTTAAATAGTATAAAACTGTTGATTTTACAAAACGATCGAATACTAGCATTTTTATAAAAAGGACCATATTATGGTTTATGAATCTTCCCTTTTTAAAATTTCATTTCTCTTTTAAAATTATTTTTAATATCAATACATTTGTCAAGGTATGGTATATAATACTTTTGGGTGGTCTTTTTAACCTATATCTTTATTTTCAAAGTGCAGTGTATGCATGAAATTATACAGTATTATGAAATAATTCCTAATTGATAAAAAGTTTGGCAGCTCCATACCAAAAAAATTGATCGCCAGCAAGACATTAATAATCTTCACAAGGCAATGTTTCAATAGAGTCATAAGCTAATATTTCCTTCCAACAGATAATTTTCTAAATTGTATACTTTATTTGTACTGCATCTATGTTTTTCATTCCTACCCAATTGGAAGCAGAAAGGCAAATTTATTTGCACTAAACTATTTTAACCCTGCTGATAACAAAAGATAAAGCCTTTTTAAGGACCTTCTATAAAGCATATCCATCCTCAAATCCTGCCATATTGTGTCATTATACTAGGATGGGTAATCCTGGGAGGGATGTGCAAAGAATGCCTGCAGGCGTGCTAAGAGTATATACTCCCAGTGTTCATACTAAAGTTATGAAGCTCATTCCAGCTCCCCAGCTAAAAGGAGAGGCAACTATATCGGTTAATAAAAGAAGATGCTCAAGACAGATAATGACTTTAGAGGTTGATGACTTTGACAATCAGATTTAGTCTGGAATTGATGGAACATGCAAGTAAGATATATTCTTGTGATTGGAGACTAGAATGTCAAAGCTGGAAACAGAAGGAAACAGCATGACCTAGAAACAGAAGAATGATGTCCGGTTATGAAACACCTAGGATGCTCCTACTGCAAGGTGCAATCACCTTTATTAAATATACTTGTTTGGCCATCATCATCATCAGTCTTGCATAAGTCTAGTCCGACCTAGAGAATACAGTAAATCCTAAATATCTTACACTGGGAACTGGACGATCAATATGAAATTTATACTTACTTAATTGGTATGTGTTCTCCATCTGAATAGCTGGGCGCAGGCTATCCTCATGGTGGCCAGGTTCATCCATATATGACACAGTACTTACAGAGCTAAACATAATAACCAACAATAACTGCATTCATTGCCATATTAATTAAAAAATGAACCACCTGTGAAGATTCATCAAGGAATGTAGGAACTACCAGAATAAGGATTCTTGGTATGTTAAGCCCCATTGATTTTGTACATAATATTAAGTATAGCCTTGATATAGAATTACCTCCATACCTGAGGAAGTACTAGTCCAGAAATCTTAAAGTTGCTGAGGTTGAGGAATACTGCTCTACAACAACTCTGTTCTTTGCATGACAAGCTTTTAGTTACTTGAAAACTGCCGTTTTGATTCCCTTCCAATTTCATCTTGCAACTGGAACAGGATTTCTGTACATTCCCCATTATGGCAGAACAACATGTTATGAAGTCAGTATAGAATCTTTATTCAATATGGCTCTCAGAACAGGCCAGCTTCTTAAAAATAGCTAAATACTGTAGGAATTTTCAACTATCACCGGGCACATATTTATGGCAAAATATAAAACAGTTTTAACCTCAAGGTCCTCAAAGGAAATAACCAATAGAACTAACAAAGAATTAACAAGATGAAAAATAAGACAATATAACACTGCTACTTACTCTTTGTTTCTTCCAAAGAAATCCTTTGCTCTGATCTCATGGCTCCCCAAAGAAGATATGCTGCCTCTGTTCTTGGCCAAGCGGGTGACTTTATCCTTCATGATCTCTGACATATTTACTAGACAGGAATTACATTTTTAAACCTAAAATTTAGCTGAAAAGGTATTGGCAGCTGATAAAGTAATGAATGTCCATTTTACAAAATCAAGTAACTGAAGAGGCAGTGTAAATATAGCCTTTTAAGTCTTTGGGAAGAACAATTACATGGCCACTTAATTGTGGGTTTTTTTCTTTTGTAACCTGCAAAATGGAATTGAGAACCACCTATGATCACCAGAAGTAGATTCACAGCACCACTACAAACAAGATTTTGCAACTCCCTAATCTGCAATCAAAATGACAGGAAAGGGGCACTAACAAAAATCAAGAGTACTTTAGAGAAAATTGTTATGATATAATTCAGGGATTCAGAATCAGCATTTATTATCCAGATTCAACAAGTGACACCTTAAAATAACAATTTTATTCTTGGGAAAACCCACAGCCAGTTATCCTTCAATCATACATTCAGTGTGTTTTCTAAGGTTATTTTTTTAATACTATAAGAAATCCATAAGTTGAACATTCAACTCATGCTCCACAAACTCTACATTCTTCTCAGGAGATATCCCTATTTATGTTTTCCCCTTCTATTTTTGTCCGTTCAAGCCAATAACTGTGAATACTTGGAGAAAACTAAACTTTTAACATACATACTGGTAAGTTTATTGCTCAGTGTCTCAATCGTCCAGGTCACACTTGTCCCAAAAGTGCTTTTTTTTTTGAAAGGCAACTGGACTTTCTTGGTTGTTTTTTCTTTTGGAAACTTTTTGCTTCTCATCCAAGAAGCTTCTTCAGGTCTTGGATGAGAAGCAAAAAGTCTTCAAAGAAAAAAAAAAACCCAAGAAAGTCCAGTTACTTTTTGAGGGGGGGGGAAGCACTTTGGGGATTTTAATGCCTAGTGAAATGAAATCAGTGATCCGTGTACTTATTTCAAGCACTATATTCTGCTTTGAATGAAGCATCCCACCCTGTCTGCAGTCCACAAAAACTCTTTCTCCCAGGTATCCCAAAGGTGTTTTTTCAGGAGGCAACTGGACTTCCTTGTTTTTTCTTGACAGGATAGTGGGGAATGGTGTCAGAGCTGAAGAAGCTTCTAGGATGAGAAGCAAAACGTCTTCAAAAGAAAAAAAACAAGAAAGTCCAGTTGCCTCCTGAAAAAGCACCTTTGGGACAATCGTGACCAAGGATGACTGAGAATCTCTACAGCAGAGGTCTTCAAACTTGGCAGCTTTAAGACTTGTGGACTTCAACTCCCAGAATTCTCCAGCTATGCTGGCTGGAGAATTCTGGGAGTTGAAGTCCACAAGTCTTAAAGCTGCCAAGTTTGAAGACCTCTGCTCGACAGTCTTTCTCCCAGGGGAATCTGACTTCGACCGATCGCCTGGAGGAGATCAAAGGGGCTTTCATTTGCCCTTGTGGGACGTTTTCAGGTCTCCAACTTGAGCCCGAACCCAACCCAGTGCCGACAAAAACGCGCTTTTACCCCATTCACCCGATTCTGGAATCCCCGCAAAATGAGCCATCTAGTCCTCTAGCTGCCCACCGCGCCGCCCTATTCTCGGCTGCCAATATCCGAACCACCGCTAAGTGGCATCCAAGTGAGAAGCAACCTTTGACTCCGTGCTGCGTTTCTGCCAGCTATTCCGGACGTTGGCACCCGAAGGACGACAGCCGCGGTCCTTACCGCTTTCGCCGCAAGCCGCCCTGGGAAGCCGGAGATGTTGCTGGTTTCCCGGGCGACAACCCGGCCCCTGGACGGCTGAGAGAGAAGGGCGGCCTCAGCTTTGCCCCCGCCTCCAAGAGAGGCCGTGCGGGAGTGGAGCGGAACGACTCGCGGCGGGGAGAAAGACAGGCTGGCATTTGTGGCTTCAGGCGCCCGTGTTGAGGAGGAGGAGGAGGAGGAGGAGGAGGAGGAGGCTGCCCGGCTAGGTGGGCTCAGCGCGGGAAGAATGCCACTGAAAGTCCGTTCCACCGTTCGAGCCGCAGAGCTGACTAGCCGCCAGCCAAAAAGGAGATTAGAGCAAAAGCTCTGCGCGCGCACCCACCCCGCCGGCTCCTTTCCCGAGCGGCAGCTTTTGTCTCCCGAGTCCGCGCGTGGATTTCGGCTTCCGTTTTCATCTCCCCGCTGAGGGATTGCTCCGCCTTGGAATCTTGCGCGCTCGGGCTTCGAAAACACCAGCGGGGCGAGGAAAGCGCGCGTGCTTCTGCTTTCCTCCGGGCTGCCTTGAGCCGCGATCTCCAGGGGATCTATGACAATTAGCCACGGCCAACTCGCCGCAGGCAACTTGACGCGGGACAACTCGCCGTGGGACTATTTGCTGTGGGATAAGAGTTACACTAATATCAAAGAAATGGTGGAATAGAATCATCAAAGAAAGGATGCGAAAGGAGGGACAGAACCAGGGGTGAAATCCAGCAGGTTCTGACAGGTTCTGGAGAACCAGTAGTGGAAAGTTTGAGCAGTTCAGAGAACCGGCAAATACCACCTCTGGCTGGCCCCAGAGTGGGATGGGAATGGGGATTTTGCAGTATCCTTCCCCTGCCACGCCCACCAAGCCACGCCCACAGAACCGGTAGTAAAAAAAAATGTGGGTTTCACCACTGGGCAGAACGGAATGTGAATGGCAAAAATTAAAATAATTGTTTATATATTTCGAATAATTAAATTGAATTGTTAAATTGGCCTGTGATGAGTTGTCCATTCCGGACCTCCAGTATCTTGCAGTTCATGTCTCTGAATTCCTCGGCCAGCAACCTTTTGGTCCTCCCCGTGATTGGAGGGGGGGTACTGAGGAAAGCCCCTTAACAGTTTATTGGCTCATGAGGCAACTTTGGCTTCCTGAGAATATGACTTACAGTGTTTGGCTAATATATAAAATGGTCAAGTCAGGCTGTAGTTGATTTTATCCAGGTCATTTTTTAAAATTGTTGCTCCTTCCTAGCGTTTTCCCCCAAATGCCAGATCCACTTTCTTTCAGATCAACCAAGTGGTGATCTACTGATTGTGACAGGAATTGACTGACTTGGCTTATTGCCAGAGCCTGAGGTCATAAAAGGAGTGACTGACCCAAAGTCACTCAGCCCTCTCTCCTTTATGGACACAGAAATATAATGAAAGGGTTAAAACCAGGGAAAGTCCCCAGTTCAGGTCTTACTATGTAATAAAGTAATACAAATTATTTGGGATGGTGAGTCCCAGTGTTAACAACACTTTTCAGGGTAATTGATATCAAAGGCCTGGAGCTTGGCTATTACAGTACCAATAGAGAAGAATGGCAAAAGAGATGATCCAGCTCACTTTTGTTCAATGAGTGTTAACTCATAATGGCAAAATGTATGCTAAACATCTGCAAAATAAATTAACTGATTGGCTAGACTATGAAGATGTTCAACTGATTGGCTAGAATAGTTCTGGAAGAGTGTTAACATGTCATCTCTAGTCCTTCTCTGGTCTAACAAAGAGAAAGACTAGAGGTGATATGAGAACAGTCTTCCAATATTGAAGGGGCTGCCACAAAGAAGAGGGGGTCTACTCTTTTCCAAAGCACCTGAAAGCAGGATTAGAAATAATGGATGGAAATTTATCAAGGAGAGGATCAGTTTAGAACTAAGAATTTTTCTGACAGTGAGAACAGTCAGTGGAATGGGTTGGCTTCAGAAGTTGTGAGTACTTCAACAACGGAGGTTTTAAAGAAGAGATTGAAAAGTCATTTGAAATGGAATAAGATCATCTGCTTGAGCAGAGGGTTGGACTAGAAGACCTCCAAGATCCCTTTCAACTCAGTAATACTATTATTCTGTCATAGATGAACAGGTTGAGTTTAGAGCAGGTTGAACAATGTTAAACCATGCTATGGTTCTGCAACACCTTGTAGAAAAGTATATCCACAAATCTGGACAATCTCTTTATGCAGCATTTATTGACTTTAAATCAGCTTTTGATATAGTATCACACTCTAAATTGTGGTGTATATTTAAATACACTGCAATGCTTCTGCTACTCATAATAATTCATGAGAATACAAGATTAAAGATCAGGTTTAATAACCAAGGACATGTCACCACAGAAATACTGGTAAGGAGGGGAGTTAGACAGGGATGTGTATTGGTGTCAATTTTATATAATTATTATATAAACTCATTAGTTCTATACTTTTCATTCTTCCAAATTAGCTCATAGACCTATTAATTTGTTACTGCATGCTGATGATGTAATTCTGTCATTGACTTCCATTGGCCTTAAAAGAGCCTTAACATGACTTATACCAGGAGTGTCCAAACTTGGACCTTTGAACTTCAACTCCCAGAATTCCCCAGCCAGCTTGGCTGGGGAATTGTGGGAGTTAAGGTCCACAAGTTTTAAAGTTGCCAAGGTTGGACACCCCTGACTTATATATTATCCTGTTGAGGGGGAAATAATACATTATTCCAAGATTAAGATTGACACTTTCTCCAAATATCCAAAACAGAGAAGCTGGAACATAGGTGGCCAGTCCTTTGAGCAGGTTAAGATTTTTAAATATTTAGGGACAGTTTTACAAACTTCCAGAAGCAGAAATGCTCACAAGGGTTTATCTTGTACTGCGTTGAGATCTGCTTTAGCAATTCAAACTTATTATTTTGCCACAGTTTATCCCTGCTGCAATTAAGTTGTTTGTAGCTCAGTGGCTAAGACACTGAGGTTGTTGATCGAAAGGTCAGCAGTTCAGTGGTTCGAATCCCTAGTGCCGTGTAACAGGGTGAGCTCCTGTTACTTGTCCCAACTTCTGTCAACCTAGCAGTTCAAAAGCACGTAAAAAATGCAAGTAGAAAAACGGGGATCACCTTTGGTGGGAAGGTAACAGTGTTCTGTGAGCCTTTGGCGTTTAGTCATGCCAGTCACATGACATGGAGACGTCTTCGGACCGCGTTGGCTCTTCGGCTTTGTAAAGGAGATGAGCACTGCCCCCTAGAGTCGGGAACGACTAGCACATATGTGTGAGGGGAACCTTTACCTTTACCTTTTAGCTAAAGTCCAAGCACAATCAAAATCATACAAAAGCATAATCACCTTAAAAAGAGTTAAACAAAATTTTCGAGAAGCATCTTTTAGGTTACCTGCTGCATCCCAAATTCAGTACTTTGATGGGAAGCAATAAACTTGAATCTAATCTCTGGATAAATATATTTTCCTAATGGATAAAACGATACCACAATCCTGGTTGCCTGGCCCTATCTAATGCTGGTCTAATATTGGCAGACAACTTCAAATCATATTGGGAAACAGCTATCCAAAAAAATTATAATTAAAAAGTCATTAGGGCTTTTCCAGTGATGCTATCTTAATTTTAGGGCCAGATTGTTTTAAGGCAAAGGATTTCACATCTAGAGGATTGCTGTTTTTTCTCACATCACTTATTATTTATTAAATAAATTGATATAGCTGCCCAACAGTGACTCTGGGTGGCATACATTAAAATTTATTTTACAACGTATTTGTAAATAATCACATTTTAGCTCCTATACCAGCTTAATATTTATATCATAACACAGTCCCAAATTCAGAAGAGTTTTATTTTTAGCTTGATTTAATATTCTCCCCACAGGTGTATTGGAAGGGAAATTTAGGAAAACCCTTCATGAAACTTGACACTTCCCCTATGACATGGATGCTATAGAAACCACACCCAGATTTTTTTTGTATTGTCAGTTTTGCAGAGACATTTGCCATCAACCTACCGGTAATTATCCCTTTCTGATCTAAATGTCTGGGACATTCTTTTATTGTTAAGAATTGTATCTTAGATACATATTGTGGTCATCATTAAGACTGATTTTTGGGTAGGAAATGAACTAAAAGGAACATAATTAAAATGGGGTGCACATGAAGACAACTTAAAAGACGTAGGGTGGAATACAAAACAATATGCCCTGGTGAAAACCACCCAAGGGTGGTACCACCCAAGGAATTCCCTCCCCCCATATATGCTACTGGATCTGCCCTTATCACCGCTCAATGAAAACTAGTGTTAGTACACTGAAAATAGCAAATATTCTGATTGCTTTCCAGCCTTTTGATATCTTTTTCCTCTACTTCCATGTCTTTGTGTCGGTGGACTGTACATTCCTACATGTATCTTTCACACTGTTTTTTTTTCATTAGAAAAACTGGCTGCCCACTAGACCATGGCTACCCAGCTAGGCTTTCCCATTTATTTAGCTAATTGTGTTGGGCTCCTGAAATATTTATGATTTGCTGAAGACAAAAGTGAAAGAAAAGATTGTTGGGTTTCCATTACCTTGGTCGTCTTGCAGAGCGTAAACATTGTTATCCACTTCCTTTCCCTGCATGTAAGGTTTGAAGCAGGCTATGAAACCAGTGGGGTTGCAAATAAATATATCAGTTGATCAAATTTATTAGAAAAGCAGTTATACTTGGAATGATCAGTAATAAATGGAAATGAGGCCACAAAACAACATGCTGGCCAGATAACATCAAAGCCAATAGCAGCCAGATTATTAAAAAAAACTGAAAAAGTCAGACAAGTTTGTTCAAAATCAGAAAATGTGAAAAGAGCTGATCCAGGCAATTGCTGAAAATTGGACATGATTGAACGGATAACATCATTAGCATCAGCATCCTAGCTGTGATGCCTTTGCGGATGGTAGGGTCTTACATTGTCTGATCTCAGAAACTGAGTAAAATCAGAAACTGGTTAGCATTAGATGGAGACCATTTGGAAATTCCAGGGCTATTGGCCGGATTGGAAAGGTGAAAAATCATCTTGGAAGAATGGACTGTATCTACCTATTGAGGTATTAGTACCTTCACCAGAGCAAAAATCTCCTTTGATTCTATACCACACACAATAGAATCACCTGTCTCTAACATTGCTGAATTTATGCTGTCAGAATCAGGATCTGTGAGTGCTTCCCGTATCAGGAGGAGGAGGCAGCCTCAGACCTGATATGAATTTGTTCTTCTGAAATTATTCTGCCTCAAATAAAAAGTATGTTTATTTGCCAATGCTTTTGAAGAGTTCAATGAGAGAAGACTAATACCAGCATCAAAGCTGCCTCATTTGTAATACTCCTTGGAGCATCATTTGTTTCAGACTTCCTTCAAAAACTAATTCTATATTAGTTATTATTAGTCTTGCCAGTACTGCTAATGTTAAGAGAGTATTAAACAAATAGAACTATTAGTTAAAAGTAGTGTGAACTGGAAGAAGCAAAACAAAAAGCCAAAGCAAAATGTTATTTTTAGATTTCTCATTTATTTTCAAAGGGAAAAGAAAGTCACATTTAAATTACAGTTTAATTGTTATTTAATGTTTTCCTTGTATATAGAATTTCATAAAGTTTGTTCTGAAATGGGGACCCCATTTGTATAATATGTATGATAAATAATTGCATATTTTGGGTTTTTGTGAAATGAATGTTTAAGGGAAATTATGAAGAAAATCCATTTATAAAAATCATTATTTACAAAAAAATAGACATTTGTTTTCTAATCTAAAAGGAAAAGAAACATTGAAAATATGTGGTTTTATGATTATCTTCAACAAGTCAATACAACACATTCATATCACCAGTGGTTTGATTCAGAGTTTTGCTGCAGGAACTCTGATGCCACAAACTTTTTCTACAATTTACATTTTTTGGGGGGATACCATCATGTTGGCAGCAATGTTTCATCATAAACTAAGCAATAAACAGCCAACTAGACTACAAGGATAGTGTATTTCATTTCACACAAAATCTGAGATGTCCAGACTTAAACTTTAATGTTTAAAAATATACATGTGTATTTTGTGTCCACAAATATCTATAAACAGTTTGTACACAGATTTTTAAAATATAAAATGATACAGTATGATATCTGATAAAACACCATGGAATCTATTTCAGGACTCAAATACTGTATCTTTTAGAAGTAAAACCCAGGATCTGCAAATGCTAAACTGCATGCCTGTAAATAATGTTTTTTTAATATAAGGTTTACAACAGTTCAACATGACTGAAATTTAATATTTAGTTTTTCTGAGCCTTTAATCCAAAATACATGCATGCCTATAGTTTATCAGCCATTAAAACATAACTTCAGAAAATTAGTATCTTCTAATACACTAGTATGACTAGTGTGTTAGGGTGTCCAACTGAGATGCATTTTTTAGACTCACAGATTGAAGGTAACAGTTCTCATATGCGCGGTCATCTGAAACACAATTACACACTTTTTAAGATGTTAATAAGTGTGTAAGGCAGATTTTAGACTTCCACAGATTGCTTGGTCTGCACTGAAATGCTGCTCATAAAACAATCAACAACCAAATTTAATCATTGCCAGTGTGATATTGGACTGGGGAAACCTAAGTTCTAGACCCCTTTCGGCTACAAGAATCCATTAAGTGATTTCAGACTGGTCACAATGGTGAAAGTGGCACTGGGTATAAGGTCTATCTATACATTTCGTGGGGTATGTGATGTGATGAACATAGAAAAGAGGGCTTGTATTGCAGTGCTCCTTGTGTTATTCTGATGCACATTCCTTGCTTTGCTCCTCTCATTTAGATCCTGATATTTAAGATAGTTACAAGGAAAAATGGGATGAATGATGTCATGTGTGACATCTTGAGCTGAATGAAAGATGGGATATAGATCTAATAAATAAATACCCTAACATTTGAAATTTAAAAGGTACCACCTCCACCTATGGAAAATCCTTTCTATCACTTAAAAAAGAGAAATTGTTCTGAGTGATTTGCATTTCTAATGACTTTATGGGACAAATTTTTAATCACTTAAGAAGATTAGCATCCCTGGAATTAGCTCTTGCATCAACTGATTAAAGAAAAGTATGTTACTTTCAGTATCTGCCAGGAGCAGACTTGTACATTTGGAAGCAAAAATGGTTGAATTGTTTGACCCAACCATTGAACAGTTTGATTTTGAAATAATCAAACATGTTGCCTATCATGATAAAATATCATAGTGAATTTTTAAATTAGGAATTTAGAATGGGGAAAATTATGAAAATATGAAATTATAATTATTATGAAAGTATAATTATGAAAATTATAAAAATATGCATTCTTCAGCTAATGCATTTATTTTGTCATATCTAAGAAATGCCCAGATCAATTAGATAATACATATTGATAAATAAAATAATGAGCAGTTTCTTCATAAACTAGACTTGATGGTTGACATAATGATAAAAAATAGTTCACCTAAGTCTCAGATGGAATACAGGCAGAAGAATTACGCCCACATATAACACATATACACACCCTCAACAGTAGGTACACTTTATTTCATATGTTACAGAGTAGATATTTCCATCCTCTGGAACTACCTTGACACAGGATCAGGATATCCCATTTCTTACCCTTCATATGCATTGGAGTATAACTCTCCAGATTCAGAGCTAACATTAACGATGGCTGCTGTACCTAGGAATCATAATAGAAAATCACACATGGAGGTACCAGACTTGCAAGATTTTCAAGCTATTGGGAGAGTGCATATCCAAGAACAAGATTGGTTCACCATGAGCATATTCTACTCACCGGGACCAAGAAGTAAACTATTATTTTGTGAACCCCCATGATGTAAAGGAACAACTGAAACACACATATCTTTCTATACAAAGATGGTAGCAATAGTCAATAGCAACAGCACTTAGACTTATATACCACTTCATAATGCTTTACAGCCTTCTCTAAGTGGTTTACAAAGTCAGCATATTGGTCTCAGCAAGCTGTGTCCTCATTTTACCAACCTCACAAGGATGGAAAGCTAAGTCAACTTTGAGCCAGTGGGAATCGAACTGTTAGTGGTCATCAGAATTAGCCTGCAGTACTGTATCCTAACCACTGCGCCACCACAGCTCTTGAATGATCTTTGAAATGTATTTTAATATACACATTAAAACATGGTACAGGTAGTCCTCAACTAATGATGAATCACCTAATGACCACACTTGGATCAAGTATATCTGGGCCGCATTTATAGTCATTTGCAGTGTCCTGCGGACATGTGATGTTTTACAATAATTTTGTGAAAAACTGACAGTTGGTTCCAGTTTTCACCAAAATTGGCCCCATGGCAAACCATGGTTCACTTAATGACCATGGCATTTGCTTAACGACCATGGCTTAATGACCACTGCAAAAAAAGGTAGAAAAATCAGGTCCGTAACATGACCAATCCACTTTATAATCATGGCAATCTACAAGCAAAATGTCCAGGCTCCGTTACAGTTGTAAATCCAGAACTACCTGTTAAGCGCTTGCCCTCTCTCTCTCTCTCTCTCTCTCTCTCTGTATATATATATGTATACACACACACTGTACATATATATGCACCCACATACTTTACAGCATAATTTCAAATTAGAATGGTATGATTATTGGAGAAACTATCTTATCCTTGCACAATTAAAATATATACTATCTGAAATACATAGAGTGCTGTGTAGATGATAAAAGCAGTACTTTTATGGCACCATGAAGAAAAAATTGGCTGAATTACTTCTTAAAATAAAACCAATTTTTCAAACAGAGAGGCACGTCATAAATATCAGCCTCCCAAGTAGATCAGACAGGAAACGTGACATGATGAGTTAATTTTATTTTATTGTAAGGGTTCAATCTATCAGAACCTTGCAAGTCTGAAAGTAAAAATCTCCTGCAGTCACTTTCTGCCTTCTGATAACTTAGGAAAGATCTTTTCTAACTTCCTTTCTCTGCCGATTTACTCAATGGTGGATTATTTCCTTTTTCTCTCATTGCTCCCAGAGCAGCATCTCCCCTCACCTGCCCCCCCCCCCCCCCCATTTTCTAAGGCCATTCTCACATTCCAATAAATCAAGGAAATAAAATTAGAGGAAAATGTGGAAGCGTGAAGTAGGAAGCAAGCCAGTGGAGAATACAGGTAGTCCTTGACTTACAACCATTCATTTAGTGACTGTTCGAAGTTAGACAGCACTTATGACCGTTTTTCACTCTTACAACCATTGCAAGCTTCCCCACAGTCACATGCTCAAAATTTGAGCATTTGGCAATCAGCATGTATCTGCAATCGTTGCCGTGTCCTCTAGTCATGTGATCGTCATTTGTGACCTTCCCATCCAGCTTCTGCCAAGCAAAGTCAGCAGAGGAAGCCTTATTCACTTATCAACCATGTGATTCAGTAAACTATCACAGTGATTCACTTAACAACCTTGCAAAGAAGATTGTAAAATCAGGCACAATTCACTTAACAACCACCTTAATTTAGCAAAAGAAATTCTGGTCACATTTGTGGTCCAGGATTACATATAATAGTTAGGGCAGGGGTGTCAAACTGGTGGCCCATGGGCCAGATGTGTCACATGCAGGCCACGCCCACCCTGGCTCCACAAAGGCAAAAAATGTCATGATACGTCACATGATGCAATCGAATTTAACAGCCGTGGGTTACGGTGTTGAACTAGGAACACAAAGATCCAGGTTCTAATCCTTCCCTAGGCACCAAAGCTAACTGGGGTGATCATTGGGCCAGTCATTCCCTTTCAGCCCTAATCAGTATCCAGCTCTGCAACAATCTAGGTGAAAAATAACACCTCTTCTGCTATCACAATCAATACTAAGCAGTCTCAGTGGAAAACCAACAGATGCTGAAACTAAATAAGAACAACAAAAAGGAGGAAGAACAAAGATCCTTTATATTCTAATTGCGGTCTTAAATTCATAATAAAAATATAAGTCCACCAAACCTAGATGGCTACCTAAGTAGTATAAATGATATTCATTTTCTAAATGGGCTTAAAACCAATTTTACTTTTTCCTGAACTTATTGAAGTCTTTGAAATTAGCATAGTAATTTATGATGGCTTGGCTTTTAGAAGAAACAAAATATCTATTTTTTTTATAGAAATATTTTTTATTTTAAAATAATAATTTCTTCTATATAGAGCAATCTTGAGCCTGATCCTATGGATATTTGCAGACAGCCCCATCACAGATTTTCTTTCGAATAAGTGTGCACCAGAATAGGGCTCTGCTTACAGCTATAATGGTGACACGATCCATTTGACAGGCCTTGCACACCAATTTAGGCAATTGCTTCCCATCGTAGCTTGTTTAAAAGGCATGCTAAATATTTCATTTTCTTTTCTTTTATGAAGCAGGGTTTCTGGAATATGCTTTTTATAAAGATGATTCATCCAGCTGCAGCACAGAATTCATATATCTGTATGCTCACCCTGTTGATTAATGTTCTTACTTTCAGCTAAGATATTTCTTCATTTTGTTTCAAGCTATGAAATATCAAGCTGGACACAAAAATGTGATTATAACCTGATTTGGGTTAAAATGCTTTATAAAGTCCTTCCTAGTTTTATAGATCTCAGTAAGACTTTATCTTAGAATAATATCCTGTAGTAATGGCTAGAATGAGGAGTTTCAGGGGTAAAATATTCCCATTTATTCCCTAGCTTTGCTCACATAAAACTAGGAGAAGGATGTTTATAAAGAACTATTGTATCGCTAAGCAAGAGCAATACTTATGTTTTTGTCCATTGTTATATTGTTACTAAGGAACAATGATTTATAACAACCTTTTAACCTGTGTCTTTTTCTCTGCGTAATAATTTATTTCCCAGATTTTAAAGGCTGATACATTACAATAGCCACTTTCAGGATGACCTGTCAGTAGAGCCACAAACCACGCTGGTTAGGAATTCTGTGGAATGGACCTTTGAACGGCCCCAACTTGAGGAAAGCTAAGCTAAGTTAAACTTCTACTTGAAAGTTTATTTTTGGTAAATAAGCTCAGAAACAATCTACAAGCATAATTTTTAAAAAGACCTGTTTTACATGACATTATTCATATTTTTAATAATCCTAATTAATAATTTTAATTGTACTAAGGAAACAGGAATCATCAACAACAAAAAGCCTATAGTTATTTGAGATTAAACAGGTACATAAATCAAGTTTCAGTAAGAGTGGGGGTTTTTTGCTATTAAATCTGGTAAAAAATTAGAATTGTGTAATTGGCTCAAGATTCAATAACTATTTTTCTTTTTTCAGGAGTAAATCAAGACTTTCTAAAGAAATGCCAGTAAATGTATCCCGGGTGGCTAAATTGCTAAAATGATGGTATATATATATATATATTGCTGGATGCTATTATTTTAGATGCAATGTAAGGCCTATATTCCAAATCATTGATTGCTATATATATATATATATATGTGTGTGTGTGTGTGTGTGTGTGTGTGTGTGTGTGTGTGTCATGTTGTTTCTAACACCTTTCTTGGAATCCATATAATCTTTCTGAACTAATCTTTATGTTACAGACATAGCAAATTATTTTAATTTAAACTGAATTTTCATTTTATATTTATCAATGAAGAGTTTAAAGATTTTCAGTCACCTTTATTAGCTTTAATATTATATTTCTGAAAAATGAAGGGGGCTCTCCACATTTGAAAAACTACTTAGAAGTAAATTATTTCCTTTGCATAAAATTACATTTTTAGTTCAAAGCAGAATATATGAAATTTCTGTTGACACTAACCAGGAAATGCACAGATATCTGAAATGGCCAATAGTAACCCAATTACTTGGTTACTGGTATGCATTGTAAAACAAAAATGAAACAATTCCAGAGTAAAAAAATTGTCTATTCATTAAGGAAGCAAAAATGTGCTTTGTCAAGCTTTTGTGATACTGAGTAACAAATCCTAGCGATAGGCCAATTTCATTTTTAGAGAAAAGAGCAAACATGGTAAGAATTATAAAAATGCAAAGTATAAACACAAAGATAACTTTTCCATTTCAAACCATGCAGAGCTCTAGCAAAAATCAATCTTTATCATATTTATCAGTGAGATTGAGAAGCCAGTGAAGCTTAAGTGGGAGACATATTTTTTGGATTGTATATTATATTTTCCATAAAATTAGCTCTATAGTTTTCAAATACAAGACTCATACCAAAAGGAACTAACAAAACAAGGCATTTGATGTATGTGGAATTTCAATTTCTATCACTGCAAGATATATATTTTTCATACTGGATGATAAACAAATATATTCATGTCCAGATAGAGCCTTTAATTTTGTCTGCTTGTTTTAATGCAGACATAGCTGCTTGTCAAGCACAGCTATTTTCACATGCAAGTGAGACAGTTGGATGCCAACCTAGTTAGACCACAGTTTATAAAAATACTAGTCGCAAGCACAGAAAATAGCAGAACAGATACTCTGCACTTCTTTACAATGACTTCTCATACAATATTCCTCATTCCTACTGCATTCAGCTATAGTTCAGGTACCATTTGAACAGATAGATGTGCAGCATTTACACACACCTAGTATGTTAGCAATGGAGAATCAAACCTTTTGCTTTTTCAGACCCTAAGAAATGTAACACTGACTAGCAAATTGAAACCTGTTTGAAGTAGAGTATCCTGGTGTTTAAGGAACGGAAACAAAAATTCAGCAATTATTTTGTCACCTGTTCTGTCTGTTCAAATGGGTTCTTTCTTTCCTTTTTTGTCCCGCTTTCAAATACAGATCAGCCAGGCTATTAATCTTGATATGTATGGATGATATCTAATGTGTATGCACAAGACACACACACTCAGACATGCTTCTTAACTTACACATAAGTTAAAATCTAGCTGAAGAACACAATGTTGGTCAGAGCCAGTTTTTGGCATGCAAATTGTCCTGTAAAAATAAACAAGCACATCCATGAAACCAGAGGCTTGCTCAGGTAAAAAATAAAACCACCACCACAGGATTTCTCTTCATTGCTGGTTATTTGTTAGTCAGCTTCCCCTTGCACCAGGTGTAGTGAAAATAGTGGGAAGTGCGCCTTGCTGCCTTTTCTGTGCTTTCCTTCCTTTTTCTATGCCAGGCTTCCCAACCCGGTGCTCGCATGCCAGCTGATGTCCAACATATCTGCAAGGTACCAGGATGAGGAAGGCCGCATAGAGCTTGCATAGCAGAAATATTTCTAAACCATTGTGCTCTTCCTTTACCTTCATGTTCACTCATGTTAGACTAACAAAAGAAACAGCTATCTCAGTACAAGCTTTATCTCAGCCACAGGTTCTAACAGTTATTCAAAAGTTTCTTCCCCACCCCCACCCCTTTTTAAACTTACTTCAGACATGATGGGAATGTTTAAAGCTGAAAAACTACGTTTGTACCATAGTCACCTCAACATTTACTCTGAGATGTTCTGAAGTTAAACCAATTAAATACTTAAAGTCATATCTGTTTATTTATGTGACTATATTTGTATGACATAGGCTATCAACTGAAAAAAAATAATCAATGAATTTGCAGGTGAGCTAATTTTGACATTCTTTTTGAGGCACTCCTTTTCTCACAGCTGTTAGCGTTGTGTTCAAATTGTATACATTGACAAAATGCATCTGCCTCTGAAAGCTTGTCTCATTCAGCATTACTACTATTAAATTTATATATATCACAGTTTAAATTACACCCATTTCTTGAACGATAAAATGCTAAAACTCAAGTGTCTAACTGCCAAAATACAGCCTTACTAGAATGAGTACAATTTACAAATACAATAATTACAATTTAAAACATGAACAATATTACATCTAGAAGTAAATACTGTAGGACTGATCAACATGGCATTTTCTGAGAGAGAAATGTTGAATTGCTGATGCTTTCAACAGAAATGTCCTGAATACAGGATTCAGTTAGTTTCCCCTCAACAGCATATAAAAACCATCCAACCACTGCAGTCCTCAGCTATATGGATTTTCAACATACTTGCATATACTTCGGTTAGTTATCTGCCAGGTACTTTCCTGTAAAAATGATTAAAGGCATGTAAAAAGGAAAGTTAATGACATTTGTAAGGTCTAGATTTATTTTTATAAACACACCATTGTCAACTAAATATATTACCAGTTAAATCAAAGTGAGGTCTAAATATTTGATGAGACCATTATGAAACATGAACTTCGTTGTACAGTTTTGTGGTGCAAGAGGAAGAAGTATAGATTTATTTATTTACTCATATACAGTTTGGAGGCTACCCAACTCCAGATGTTTCTGGACATCTTACACTTCAGGAAAGAAAAAAGCAAAAACTAGAAAAGCAGATCATATATATCCACTGCGGGGCGAGGTGGGGGATACACATCAAGCAAAAAAGACTTAATGCAGTAATAAAAGGTTCATTTTTTGTACTAATAAATATCTTAAATAAAAATGGTCATGATGTGACATAAGTCCACATTTCTCCACATGGTATCCTTCCTATGTGCTGAAGTTGACAAAGTTCTAGTTCACACACAACTGGAACTACAGTGGAGAACATTGGCCTGCTTCCTGATTCAACAAATTATATAAAATTAATATATTAAACTACTGAATATGGTTGAAACATATAATCAACCAACCATCTGATAATACCTTTATTCTTTAATTGTCTCCTTCATCTGCTTAACAGACTGAGAAGAAGTGCACGAGAAGACAAATGGGAAAATAAACAAGAAAGAGAAGTTGCATTCTTTGCCTGCAAATGTGCAGTTCAGTGTTTGACTGACTTTTTTTCATGGTTGAATTATGAACTAAAATATGTGCCTGTCATTGTTCATGAAATCCTGAGTTGGTAGATTTGCCTAGGCACCTTCTAACACCTTGACGACTAGGTGCAAATGACACTGAGACCATACTTATCACATCTAATAACCCAATTCTTCTTGTTGTTGATATACAGTTCCGTTATTAATTATTATTGTTGTTGTTGGTCTAAAACAGATGTTTAGACTGAGTTTGGCATTTTTCCTATTGAATCTTTCCCAACAATGAGATGGGCTTATAATTATCATTAATATTACCTTAGGAAAACAGCATTTAGCTTTTCCTTACCTGCTGCAAATCTCTTTTTTATAAGTGAAAAACGATACCCAGCTCCAACAAGTTCAATATCACAGCTGGACAGAGTGCTCCCTTCGCTGGTGAATTGCACAACCAGGGGTGAAGGTTTACTTGGTCCCTCAGATAACTGGAATCGTGCAAGCAAGGAACCCACCCCTTCAGACAGAAAATTCATTAAGATACATTAATATAGAACACAATGCAGTCTTGTGCCCATTAGAAGGCCCATTAGTAAAATACTGGTGTAACATTAGTTTTGGATTGCATCCTAGTCTTTTCACATGACAAACTTATGCCCTGAGATAATTGAACTTTGAAACCATTTTGTAAACTTTTTTTTAAGGCATGAGTAACTTTTTTTTTAAATTTGATTTATATGTCGCCCTTCTCCGGAGACTCAGGGCGGCTTACAATGCGCTAAGCAATAGCCTTCATTCTTTTGTATATTTATACAAAGTCAGCTTATTGCCCCCACAAACTGGGTCCTCAATTTACCTACCTTAGAAAGGATGGAAGGCTGAGTCAACCTTGAGCCTTGGCGAGATTCGAACCTGCAGTAATTGCAGCAGCTGGTCTTAATAACCAGCTTAATAACAGGGTGCCTTAGACCACTGTACTACCAAGGCTCTTTTGTTTTGAAACTTAAAGTATTCAAGCTTAAATCAGTTTATTGCAAATTATGCTTGAAGCCATTTGAGCCACTCGTTGAGGAATTTAAACTACTCTAAATTGCAAAATGGCAGGGTATTCAATTAACCCAGGGGTCTCCAAATTTAGCAACTTTAAGACCTGTGGACTTCAATCCCAGAATTCCACAGTCAGCATGCCAAGTTTGGAAACCTTTGGATTAACCTACGGTATCTTTGGAATTCACAATTTATCTCAGATATACTGGATGAATCTGAAAGTCTTGTATTAGTATAACTATTACAACATGTAAATTTTACAAAGAAGTTACGACTGTGATAAATTAAGCTATGTTTGAAAACTTTGGAACAGACTAAAGTGTTTTGTATCATGGAATCAGTCCATGGTTCAAAAATATTAAATATATCTCCCATTAGTAATAAAAAGTTTATTTTTTATATCTATTTAGGCACTCAGATAATATTGGTTTGTTCAGTTAGAGTTCTGTTTTGGTTTAATATTCACAAAATTGTTAACTGGGTGTTACAAAGATAATTGTTCAACATATGAATATATTTTTGAATTATATAACAACATTCTTTGTATTGTTTGTTATTGATTGTATTGTATATATCATATGTTTTCTATGCTTTCTATTTCTATTTCGAGTTGAATACCTTAACTACTAGACTAACTGGACCTTGAAAAGATATGAGTGATTGGTCAAAGAATGATGAAAGGATAGAAAGTTTTACCAGGAATATAAACTTGTATGATTACCTCCATTTTCAGATTTTTGAGAAATATCAGGAATTCTCCACAATATCCTTTGTTGTTCAGTATTCCTAAAAATATGAAAAAAAATTGCTCAAGATAGAGAACACTGAAGAACACTTCCAGCAAAATTGTATTCCATTCTAGAATATACAGTAAGCAAATTTGAATTTGAAATGTTTAGCATGCCATGCTCTAAAATGAGTTTGTTAGATTTATTTTCTGTATTTTAAGCTTAATACTAAAATGTTAAGAATTCAGTTAGTTTCAGATACATTTGTATTCTGTACATACCATATTTTTCGGAGTATAAGACGCAACTGAGTACAAGATGCACCTACCTTTTTGGGTTGTTCTTTTTTAAAGTTTTTTTTTTATTTTTTAGACAAACACACATACAAACATACAATGTATTTTCTTTGAACAGCGTATTTGCTGGTTCACAAATTTAAACAGTGTTTAGTCATTTCAATTAAATTTACAATTTCTATATTTCCTTTTTGCCATATTTATTCCTCATCTATTTTTTTTTTAAAAAAACAATATTACCCTTCATCCTCATCTCTAATCTTAATCAAATTCAATTTTTCCCTTCTATTCTATATTATACCCCTTCCCATTGTCATCTATTTTATATCCATCCTCACATTGGTTAATTATTTAATATTACAATTGTTTAATACAAATTTAACATTTTTATATAAATCTATTAGTTATAACTATCTTTTTTGTATATTAATCAATATGAACATGAATATTCCAATTATTTCCATGCAATCCAATTTCTTACAAATCAATTAATTATATTTACCAATAATAATAAACCAAATAATTTTCCCCATATGTTCCTCCAAACCACAACTTAACCATTTCTGCTTTCCACACAATATACAATTAATAGTATCTCAATTATTACAATTCCCTAGTTAAATAGAGCTTTTTTTCTTTTGTGTTTTAAAATCTTGAACTCTCCTCTTTTGCCCTAAATTTCCCATTGTTTTCACCTACCTTTTTTGGTGAGCAAAAAGAAAAAGAAATCTCTCCCTGCCTCATTTTGTCATGTTGCAGCAAAGAGCCTGCTTTACTTTCAGTTTTGTTTTTTCAGGATAGCTAGGGGAAAAAAAAATCTGCTCCAGCACTCTTTGGAGCTAGCAGCAGAGCCCTGCGCAAAACAGCTGAGAGCAAATCAGCTGAGAGTCAGGAGGCCGATCCAATCAACTTGTGCTAATTAATTAACTTGTGCTATGATGAAGCTGAAAGGGGCTGTTTTTTCTTGCTGTTTGCTTGCAAGGAGGTAACTGCTGTGAGGCACAGGCCAAAGGGTGGGGGCCAGTGGATGGGCAGGGCTACATTTGGTGTATAAGGTGCACCTAAATTTTCACCCCCTTTTGGGGGGTAAAAAGGTGCGTCTTATACTCCGAAAAATATGGTATATCAGAATCAATAACTTGTGATACAAATAGTACCATAGCAACAATAGACTGCTTCCTGTCCATTACTTTCCTGCAATTAAGTCTACAGTGAGATTTGCCAAGGGAAATCTAAAAAGAAAAGAGATGGATAGGTAGGTAATCCTTTCTCTTCCCACTCTGTATGTGTGTTTTTAAATTGAGGGCCAATTTTATATATTTGATTTTAATTGGTTTTAAATTTTATAAATCTATGTGTTTTTAATATGGCTGTACACCACCCTGAGTCCTTCGGGAGAAGGGCAGTATAGAAATCTAATAAACTTTCAAACTTTCAAACTCTGGCAAACTTTCTCTTATTTCTCTGCAATCTGTCTGCTGTATTTTTTTCCTTGCTGAGGCATAGAAAACCATTGAGAAATGGTTGAAAGATAGGAAAGAGATGAAGCAATAGGAAGTAAACAAAATGACCAAATATAATATGATGGAAACAAAGAACAGACATAGGTCAACAAAGATCAATAGTAGATAGACAAAAGGGAATGACCAAATAAAGAAGAGTCAAAATACAAAGAGAAATGTATATTACAGTTGCAACAAACTGGACATGTATTGAAATGGATGTTTATATGTTTTTATGTTTTGTACGTTTCATTGTTCTGTTTAGTTTATACTTATAAATAAAATATTGGGGAAAAAAAAGAACTTTCAGAAAGCCCACTTTAGAGCAGCTTGAATTAATGTGTAAATAAGCTGTTTTTACAATAAAGGTAATGGTAAAAGTTAAAAAAAAAGAAGAAAACCATTGAGAAAAGTCTCATCACTGCCACTACTAGCTGTAAACTTTTAAAGCAGGGATCAATTTACAAATTATGGAGAATCTTAAAAGAGCTTTTGTTTGTAGGAGTTATATTTTTTGATATTTACTGAACTCAAAATTAAAATATTTGTATTACGTTTCAACATTGGCTGGCAAATAATTTTGATAGTTAGGGCCCTTGAGAGGGTTTGGGGGGATTTCTAGGGATCCTGAGACCACACTTTGAAAAATATTGCATTAAAGCAACCGTATCTTGAGGCTTCTGTTTAAAAATTGCCTTAAGGAGTTGACTCACTGAAGTCATGGCCTTTTTCCCCTTGCATTTGTGAAGAAGCCTGAAAAAAGGCATGGCTGCCCTAATAAATTGCAGAGAAATACCACACTTTGGTCTGAAACCTTTATTAATAATTTACGAAATGTATATACCACACAACTCCTAGTGACTCTGGGCTGTTTCCAATTGTAAAAACACTTAAAAACAAATAAGAACACAAGAAATATCTTAAACACAAAAATAAACCCCCAAAAGGAACAGAGATGGCTTTTTCTGAACGCCATTCCCTCTTTCTCATCATACTTGAAATGCTAAATTCAGACAAAGTTGTGCCAAAGTTTTAATCAGCATATGGCTCTTCATGGCTATAGTTTGCCAAGACTATTTCAGTCTCTCCAAAGGTTTTGCTCAACTTCAGTTACCAAGAAAATGCATTTATGGAATAAGAAAGAGGCAAGGGACACCTCTGGTTCATACCAAATGGCAGGTGGAAGCACAGCTTGTAATTTTGTCACTCCACCATCGATAGGAACAAGGAATTGCACATTGTTTAAAGCTACTGGTGTAGTCATTGCCTCTATATTATACTTGTAGTCAATGCGTAGATCTGTGCTTGTGGGTTCACACCGCCAGTTCACTGCAAGATTCAGGGGAGTAGATTGAATACCCTGTGTTGATACCTTGTAAGACAAAAAGAACATTTAGTATCTGTATGAGCCATCAGACACAGAAAGGAAAAGAGTGTGAGAGAAATGTTTCATAATGAACCCCTGAAGGGTTTATGATTAAACTATGATTAGAGACTCTGCAAGATCAGAAAGGAGCTCATACCTGGTATTTAAGCATATCCACATTATAGTATGTTGCTTGTGGTTTCTGTTCAGACACTTTCTTCAAGTGAGTCATCAAATTTGGCATGTTTACCCAGAACTCCTTTGTGTTGGCATCAGCATGAGTGCTGTCACTGCATTAATTTAAAACAGGAGGAACACATGCCATTTTCATCAATGCAAAATATTTGTCAGTTTTGTATTAAAATTATAGCTAATTCCAGCTGCAGAATTTCTCTTTAGGCTAGGGGAAATAAACCCCACAATGTGTGATCTAGTCGTGTAAAGAAGACCGATGGACCGATGTCACAGTCTCTTGGGGTAACAGATTGTTTTCTTCTGAGTATTGAAATAGTGTTCATGCTTTTTAAAAACGATATAGAATAGAATAGAATAGAATAGAATAGAATAGAATAGAATAGAATTAGAATAGATAGAATAGAATAGAATAGAATAGAATAGAATAGAATAGAATAGAATAACAGAGTTGGAAGGGACCTTGGACGTCTTCTAGTCCAACCCCCTGCCCAGGCAGGAAACCCTACACCACCATATAACCTAACCTAAGTATTACACTAGAGCCAGTTTGATTTGGGAGCCTTTTCAAAGAACATTTTAAAAAAAAGGTTTCAGTGCAATTTAAAAATTAATTAATAAAATCAACAACATAAGCCGTAAACATGCCTTATGCAAAACTTGCAAACATTACTGTTTCCTGTAAAAAAAAAAAGTTATTACAATGATATTTACCAGCAAAGAAGTTGAGGATTTGGCAAAACATGTTCCAATCTGTTGTAATTTGTCACACGAAATGTTAGAACAGCTGGAGCGGGGTTATTGGCAAAATGTCTAGTAATTCCCGCAGGAAATGACAGCACCATTTCTCCGGTAATCTTTACTATACATCTTCAGAATCAAAAGAATGGCAGGCAGAAAAAAAGAGCACACAAATTATGCATAACTAGCGAGTTTTGAATCAAAACATATGCATGTATAGTTTGATTTCTTATTTTCAGCATATTCTACTCTCACTTCAGACATCCGTATAGAATTAATCTATCATACACTCATTTGGAAACATGAAAAGTGGTGCTCAGAAATTTGTGCTATTGTTAAAAAGAATGCAAGTTCTTCAAATGTGTCAGAATTACAAATTGAGTTATATCCATAATTTTCATCTTTTAAAAAATGACTACAAAAGGTAGTCAAAATGTTTTAGAAAGCAGTTTTTAGAAAGCAAGATCAATGGCAAGGAAAAATGTATGAGGCTACATGCTTTGATTTATTATGTTCCTCTGAATTACATGAGTATCTATCTACCTTAGCATGAACAGAACTGATGAGTGTCCTAAAGATGAAAGGTTATAACATATGGCCTGAAGTAGCCTTAGGATGTACTTGTGCTGTTTTTAGTGATTCTGAAAATGTGGTACAAAACTAAGGAAACTATCTCCGGGTTAAATCTGGAGTTGCATAGTGTAGACTTTCACTAAGTGTACTTCTGAGGGCAAAAGACTGAGGGAGAAATATGGCACTTGCTCTCCTCTTCTATTTCCAGCTCCTAAGCATTGGAAATTTGCTCCAGGTTTCCCAGAGACTGATAGCATGGGGATGGGGGTGGGGGAGTAATAGGAAATCTCTAATACAGTTCATTATCTCCTTCCACTCATGTGAAAGTACATTAGATCCTAATTTGTCATCTCTGGATATTAAGGGATATTTGAAGAATTAAGTGGCATATTAATACGTGGACGTTAAGGGGTATATTAAGAACTCTGACAAAATGGGTAGCATTAGGAAGAGTATAATTTAGTCTTGGAAACTATAATTTAAAGGACTGTCATTTTTTGAAAAATATCATGTCCCATTGCCATTCCACATTTTTTCCCCAACATATGTGTCTGATGAAGGTAAACATCTTCTCTAGATTTGTTGCTATATTGTGAACAAATGCTCCTCCAGAGGAAATGGGTGGTATAAATCCAATTCTGAACTGCTAACTAAATGGGAAGAGGAAGGGAAAAAAGGCACAACACTTACTTGTTAGGATCGGCTCCTTTGAAGTATGCATTGACAGTTTCAGTGAAAGCTGCAGCTACAGGGAGGGTGTCTTGTGCACCCATTGTTAAGGGGCTGGGTCCTCTGGAAGAGCCTGCAACCAATGAAACCCAGACAGCCTTTTTCTCACTAAATCTTTTTTTAAAAAAATCAATTTCAAATCAATGTTAAGAAAAGATAGAGGTGGAGTTAAAAGCACAGGTAGTCCTTGATTTACAACCACACTAGGGGCCCAAAAGTTTATTGTTAAGTGGTGGAATCATTAAGTGAGGCATCACATGACTACAATTTGTGGTTTTCCTGTTGGCTTTTCCACAGACTTTACTTGTCAAGAAGCCAGCTGGGAAGATCTTAAATGTGACTATAGGATGTTGGGACTTTCATAAATACACAACAGTTCCTAAGTGCCTGAATTACAATCACATCACTGTGGGAATGCTGTGACAAATGCAAAGGCTGATGATCAGTCATACATTTTTTTTTTAGCACTGTTGCAACTTTGAACAGTCACTAAATGAATGGTCGTTTGGCAAGGACTACCTCTAAAAGCAAACTTGTGGTTTTTTTTTTTAATCACAAAAGCAGTCTACAGATATATACAATATTTATACATTTCTTTAAACAGCTAAGCCAACATAACTCAGACAATATCAAAACAAGAGGGATGCCTCAAACATTTTAATTGAAACACAGTTTTTTGCATGGTTGTACAGTAGAACATGACCATTTGGGCCAATCATTTGAGGATTTATATAATGGCAGTCTAGTGGTAGTTGAATTTAAGATCATAATAATCTGCTGGTAATAGTGAGTACTCAAATGTTGCTTAAAGGACAATATATATCAGAGGTCTTCAAACTTGGCAGCTTTAAGACTTGTGGAGTTGAAGTCCACAAGTCTTAAAGCTGCCGAGTTTGAAGACCTCTAATGTATACGAAGGAAAAAAGGGGGAAGTCAACAAGAGAAAACCTAAAAGTGTGTGGTGGTTGCTCCATATGATTAGCCAAAGAAGACTTAGTGTTTAACACAGTGGGTCTCAACCTTCCTAATGCCCTTTAATAGAGTTCCTCATGTTGTGGTGACCCCCAACCATAAAATTATTCCTAAAACCATTGAAAATATGTGTTTTCCGATGGTCTTAGGCGACCCCTGTGAAAGGGTTGTTTGACCCCCAAAGGGGTCCCAACCCACAGATTGAGAACCACTGGTTTAATAGATCTGATTATGATGTTCAGAAACATGGGAGAATGGCTGGAGAATGACAGCCTTGGCTGGAAGGAAGAACAACCACACTAAGAAAGACCATTTGCCTTGCCATTCCTTCCTCCTCTCCCAGTTTAAAACAAGGCAGCGCCAAAAATTCAACAGATGAGTTCTCTGAAAAAAAGGAGAATGTATTCCAGTGGAAATTACTTTGAGATGTGCAGTTAGTTTTTTTGTTTTATGAACCTCTGAAGTTGTCAACTAGAAATCCAGAAATTGAAGTCCTAGCATATCTGGAAGGTTTCAGGTTTGGGAAAGGCTGATTATTAATCATATGGATTATACTAAAAGAACATGCATCAGAAGCATTATAATAATTTGTGACTTTTTTATTAATAGTGTCTAAGCTATAAGCAATTGTTGGCTGCTATTTTCTTAATAGTCAGTATATGCAGATATACTGTATGATGTCCATATGATTTTTCTATTATATTTGATTTAGAATAGTGAGAAACTGAAGGTCAAATGTTCCCCTCCCATTCCTGATACATCAATGATTACCAAGGAAAAAAAAACCTGGGTTTTTGTATATTACACTTACAAATTACAAAAGATGAGAATTTCATTAATTAATCATCTCTTTTTAAATACTTAAGCAATAGCGTGCTCCCTCTGACAGTGTGCATATATTTTAATTTTCAAAGAATACACTGGGATAAGGGTCAAACTTAGAAACCAAGTCAGGAAGAAAAGGTACAGATTTATTTTCAGAGCCTATTATGGATATTGAATCCTTGCATATGATCAACAAAAAGCTATTCTATAATTTTAAACTAAAACTAGAAGATGACGATGATTTGACTAGAATGGGTTCAATTCAACTGTTACGACAGTAAAATAGACTTGAATATATTATAGAGTTGTGAGCAGGTGTTTTCTGTGCAAGAGGAGACCATATTTAGTAGTTCAGAAAGCTTCAAGATTCAACCCAGTAAAAGATAGTAATATATAGTAAAGCATTTACTATAGCAAACCCCAGCCATTTAATTCTCTAAGTACATTGTTAAACAGCTTTGTAGTGCTTCTATCCATCGCTCTTTAGGAATTTCTGCTTTCTGAGTTCTAGGTTCTCCCCAAATAGGTAATTTTTTGCATCGGGAGTAAAAACTGTATTCCATACCTTCTCACCGACTGTCCTTGCATTTTATGCATTTTAACTTTTTAGTACTCCTCAGTTTTTAAATATCCTATTTAATGAAAATCCTTCATCTCGCCTGCCTACAATATGTGTGCCCGATCAGAGAAAAATGTAAATACATTTATGTACATTTAAACTTCTAAAATAAATAAATAAAGTTCCATACATACATATGAACATAAATTAAGAAATAAATTAAAATAACTTATTTGTTCCTTTTTAACAATGCAGTAATAGTAATAATCATTCTTTCCAAACTCTTAGAACCCGAATAATTAGAAAAGTCCTAGTCTAAAGATTTTTTTGTTGGACAGATCATCATCAACATCATCATCATCATCATCATCATCATCATCATCATCATCATCATCATCATCCAAACTGTCAGAGAACAAAAGTGTTTATGTAAAAGACAGCCAAGAACAAGCACTGATGCAAATTAAAGACTTTAGTAAAGTTACTAAATGTACAGAAAACAAAAAGTGAATATCAAAATGGTGTAAAAAAAAGTCCTGAATAAAATTCTGGTAAAGAAAAGCATTATATGGTGAACTTCTGCAAAAGATCAAGGGGAAAGTGGATAAAGATAAAATCTGGCAATGGCTTATAATTGGAACATTTAAAAAAAGAAATCGAAGGGTCCACTTTGGCTGTGCAAGAGCAAGCTATTAGAACTAATGCAATCAAGGCCAGAACTGAAAAATTAATTGATTAAAAATGCAGATTGTGCAAAGAAGTAAAAGAAACAGTAGATCATATACTTCACTTATGCAAGATGGCACAAACTGATTATAATCAATTGCCAAAACTGATTCATTGGAACATCTGTAAAAAAAAATTATCATATACAAATTATGAAAAATTGGTGGGAATATTAAGTTGAAAAAAAAGTTGACAATGAGCAAGTGAAAATATTATGGGATTTTCAAGTACAGACTGATAAAGTCTTAGCTCATAATACATCAGACATAACTGTGGTTGAAAAAAATGTCTGGATAAATTGATGTGGCAATACTAGAGGATAGTAGAATAGAAGTTAAAGAATTGAAGAAGAACACAAAGTAACAAGATCTAAAAATTGAAACGGAAAGATTATGGCATAAAATAGCTACGGTGATCCCAGTTTTATTGGCATACTGGGTGCCATGCAAAAAAATCTTGGGCAGAAGTTAGAAAAGAAAAAAAAATCCAGCTGTCAATTGCAAAAGGCCATGATACTTGGATTCACCTAGATACTACACCGATGCATTATAAAATCCTAGATTCTTAGGAAGAATTTGATGCGTATGGAGACCAACATCAGCTAAAGAACTGGCAACTCTGACTTCACATTGTTATGAACAGATAATAATAATACTGTACTGATTTATATTTTTGTCATGCAAGTGAATGGAACAACTATGCAACAACAGGGATTAAGCCTAAAGTAAAAAAATCTGTGATTTAGAATTTGGCCAGGTCCCATTATAACTATGGGCCATCCACTGCTTCTTGAATACAGGAACAGATATCATCCTCCACCAACTCTCAGCCCATCACAAATATATGCCCTGCCTATGATTTGAAGCTCTGCTTCAAAGATACTATTTCTATTCTGAGCAATCTTAAACATTTCCAAGTGATTGATCTATCACATTTCATTCCAATCTAACATAACCCCAGCACTATTTGACTACAGCATCTTGCACGCTCCCCACACCTAAGCACCAAGTTTCTGCCAGTATGATTATTTCATCCTTCCACTTTCCTCCTGTTCTTCTTTCAGTTGACTCATTGATGGCTCATAAAGGGAACGAAGTCCAAAAAAGTTTCCTTACTACCATGTGATTCCCATTTTTGCAAAATAGCTTTGTTCTATCCTTACATTTTCAGGTGACCATAATTTGCATAGGCTGGTTGAACCATACCCTTATTTCTTTCTCCTTCTGTGTTTATTGTACTGCAAAGGCTCCCTCCTCCACACATCTCTTTTTAAAACTCTTTTAGCTGCAGTGTAGGCATGTTGGAATACAGGTACAAAATTTCAGTAAATATCAATAGCACTTATATACCATTTTACAGTCCCCTCTAAGCGGCTTACAGCGTCAACATATTGCCCCCAACAATCTGGATTCTCATTTTACCCACCGCGGAAGGATGGAAGGCTGAGAATGGAATTTCTTTGCTTCCATGAATCTGAATCATCAGTTCTTTAATACTGCAAAATTAATACTTATTCTGTATGGAAAGAACAAAAATAATCTAGTATAGGTAGTCCTCAATTTACAACCACAATCAAGCCCAAAATTTCTGTTGCTAAACAAGTTGGTTGTTGTGAGTTTTTTCCCATTTTTACAACCTTTTTTGCCACAGTTGTTAAGTTGCAGATATTAAGTGAATCATATAATTGTTAACTGAATCTGGCTTCCCCCATTGGCTTTGTTTGTCAATAGCCGGCTGGAAAAAATATAAATATATGTCACTTGCCAAGCCCCTGAATTTTTATCATGTGACCATGGGGATTCTGCAACATTTGTAAGTGTGAAAATCAGTTATAAATCACTTTTTCAGTTCTGTTATAATTTCAAACAATGATTGTAAGTCAAGGACTACCTGTACAGAGAATGGGAGAATTGACCTTGTGAGAAATAGGCAGGAACTGTTATATAGATAAAGAGGGACTGAAAGTTTCCTGAAGTCCTGGGAATCAAGAT